TGTTCTGTACAATGGCATGAGCACTTCCCTCTTTCTACTGCTAATACCTCTCCCTATACAACCAAGCATTCTGCTAGTATTTCCTGCTGCTCTATTACATTGTCTGCCTACCTTTAAGTCATCAGAAATAATCACCCCTAAATCCCTTTCCTCATATGTTGAGGTTAGGACTCTATCAAATATTCTGTACTCTGCCCTTGGGTTTTTACATCCAAGATGCATTATCTTGCACTTATCCACATTAAATGTCAGTTGCCACAATTCTGACCATTTTTCTAGTTTACCTAAATCATTTGCCATTTGGCTTATCCCTCCTGGAACATCAACCCTGTTACATATCTTAGTATCATCAGCAAAAAGACATACCTTACCATCAAGACCTTCTGCAATATCACTAATAAAAATATTAAAGAGAATGGGTCCAAGTACAGATCCCTGAGGTACCCCACTGGTGACAAGTCCAAGCTTCGAATATATTCCATTAACTACAACCCTCTGTTGCCTGTCACTCAGCCACTGCCTTACCCATTCAACAATATTGGAATCCAAACTTAAAGATTGCAGTTTATTGATAAGCCTTCTATGTGCAACAGTGTCAAAAGCCTTACTGAAATCTAGGTAAGCAATGTCTACTGCACCACCCTGATCTATAATTTTAGTTACCCAATCAAAAAAATCAATAAGATTAGTTTGGCATGATCTCCCTGAAGTAAACCCATGTTGTCTCTGATCTTGAAATCCATGTGTTTTAGATGTTCATCAATCCTATCCTTTAACATGGTTTCCATCACTTTCCCCACTACTGAAGTAAGGCTTACTGGCCTATAGTTGCCCGACTCCTCCCTATTACCTTTCTTGTAAATGGGCACAACATTCGCTAACTTCCAATCTTCTGGGACTACTCCTGTTATTAATATTAATAAAATCTAAAAATGTTATCAATTCACTTGATGTGCCTTTCCAGATTAAAAGAATATCGTCTATAAAACGTCTCCAGAGTACCAGGCTTGCTACCCAGCCATGCCCTCTCCCCACAGAGGTGGCTACCCAGTCTCTCATGTATACGTTTGCATAGCTGCGGGCAAACCTGGTCCCATTGGCAATGCCTGTTTGTTGTAAATAAAATATGCTGTCAAATACAAAATAATTGTGATTTAAAATAAAAATTATTCCATCAGTTATAAAGTTTCTTAAAGTGCTTGGTACCAATATATCATCACGGATAATGTTTTCTACCACTTTGACACCCATTTCGTATTTGATTACAGTATATAGTGAAGTTACATCTATTGTTACCCATATGAAGTCTTTCTCCCATCTAACATTTTCCATAATTTTCGAGAATATGAGACATGGGTCGTAGTACAGATGATCTTGTACCTGATTTTGTATTCCTTCCAAGGAAGGAATACAAAATCAGCTACAGGATCACCTGTACTACAAAATCACCTGTACTACTATACCTAGGAAGGAATACAAAATCAGGTACAGGATCACCTGTACTACTATACCTAGGAAGGAATACAAAATCAGCTACAGGATCACCTGTAATACTATACCTAGGAAGGAATACAAAATCAGGTACAGGATCACCTGTACTACTATACCTAGGAAGGAATACAAAATCAGCTACAGGATCACCTGTACTACTATACCTAGGAAGGAATACAAAATCAGCTACAGGATCAGTACTACTATACCTAGGAAGGAATACAAAATCAGCTACAGGATCACCTGTACTACTATACCTAGGAAGGAATACAAAATCAGCTACAGGATCACCTGTACTACTATACCTAGGAAGGAATACAAAATCAGCTACAGGATCACCTGTACTACTATACCTAGGAAGGAATACAAAATCAGGTACAGGATCACCTGTACTACTATACCAAGGAAGGAATACAAAATCAGCTACAGGATCACCTGTAATACTATACCTAGGAAGGAATACAAAATCAGCTACAGGATCACCTGTACTACTATACCTAGGAAGGAATACAAAATCAGCTACAGGATCACCTGTACTACTATACCTAGGAAGGAATACAAAATCAGGTACAGGATCACCTGTACTACTATACCTAGGAAGGAATACAAAATCAGCTACAGGATCACCTGTACTACTATACCTAGGAAGGAATACAAAATCAGCTACAGGATCACCTGTACTACTATACCTAGGAAGGAATACAAAATCAGGTACACATTTTCTTTTCTTTTTCAGCTATTCTGTTGATGGTTTGTTGGTGTGCTTGGGATCATTGTCCTGTTGCATGACCTAATTTCAGCTAAGCTTTAACTCTCAGATAGGTGGCCACAGAGGAGTTCATGGTCGACTCAATGACTCAATGACTGCAAGGTTCCCAGGTTTTGTGGCTGCAAAACAAACTCAAATCATCATCCCTCCACCACCGTGCTTGACAGTTGGTCTGATGTCCATCATCCCTCCACCACCGTGCTTGACAGTTGGTCTGATGTTGTGTTGGTATGTTGTGTTTGGTTTTTGCCATAAGTAGCATTGTGCATTATGGCTGAACATCTCCACTTTTGTCTTGTCTGTCCAAATGATATTGTTCTAGAAGTCTTGTGGTTTGTTCAGAGGCAACTTTGCAAACTTTGTTTGGCAACCCTTCCAAACAAACCATACTTGTTCAGTGTTTTTCTAATTGTACTGTCATGAACATTAGCATTTGACATGCTAACTGAGGCCTGGAGAGTCTGAGATGTAATTCTTGGTGTTTTTTGCAATTTATCTAAATATTTATTAGACGGTCTGATCTTAAGTTGAATTTGCTGGGAGGCCCACTCTGGGGAAGATTGGTAACTGTCTTAAATATTTACCACTTTTGAATAATCTTTCTCACTACAGAATGATGGGCTTTAAAATGTTTGGAGATGTCCTTACAACCCTTCCCAGTTTGATGAGCAGCAACACTTGCTTTTATAAGATCATTGCTGATGTTTTTCCTCCTTGGTAATGTGTTAACACACACCTGAATGCTCCAGAGCAGCAAAATGCTAAACCGGTAGCTTTGATAGAGGTGGTCACACTTGCTGATGATCAGTTAACCAAGGGCATTTGATTAGCAGCATCTGCCTGCTACTTAGAATTTTAATTCCTATGGAAGCAGTAAGGGTGTACTTAGTTTTTCACACATGGCTTCTCTATTCTGGCTTAATTTTGTTAAATACATCATGACACAGTATAAAATGTCATGTGATGTTGATCATTTGACGTTGTATTTACCTAATTTTAAGACTTGGTAAGAAATAGATTATTGTTATAATGTCCTAATACATAAAACCATAGAATTCAAAGACTGTGTGTATATATATATATATATATATATATATATATTTATATATATATTAGATGTGTGCAAAGGTTTGCTTAGAATGGTTCGTCCGAAACAAAAACCTTTTAATCCACACCCGTATTAATTGATCTGCTGGGATTTATCAATGAATAAGTCTCCACAGGTAATCCCAGACAATCAGTTTGTTTGGGTCTAGAAAAGTGAAAAATAATCTTTTACACAAGTCTTTATAAATATATTTTTTTAAAATACAGTTTTATTGTAATGAATACATGCTGCCACCTCATGGTTGAAAACGGTGGTGCGTAGCTGAAAACACCAGTGTGGGTTTTAACAATTTTCAGTGAAATTCTGTTTGAAACTGAATTAAAATTAAAATGGAATTAAGAAGAGGACAGACAATGTATGTAAATCTGATAATGTAGATGAATACAATGTTGTTCACCAGATTTTTCCAGTTCTAATTATATTCTGAGTGAAGGTTCCCGAAAGATTACCACATAATACGAGCCGTGATGATGATATGAACATGTAATACATTTATTTATTTATTTATTATGAGCAAAACCTGTATTAATGTATGATTTTAATTATGGACTGAGTCATGTTATTATTTTCTAATTAATTAATACAAATTAGAGTTTTACTAAACATGCAATGGTGGAGAATTCACGTGAAAATTGCAAATTTTAGACAAAAATATCAAGTTTGAAGATATGCTGTTAAAATAAAATAAAAAAATTGCAATTCCTAGTCACTTCTCCACATCCCCAGTTCAGTGAATAAAATGCATTGTGTTGGATAAAAAACCCCCAAAACAAACAAACAAGTAGCAAGAGAGGTGAGAACGGGCAGCAGCTGAAATAGCCTGCCCTTCGGTAGGTCACCGCTTAGAACTCTTAGAATATCTCTGTAGGCACCGTGAGCAAGGGGTCCACATCTGGATTACCCTTTAAACTTAAGGAGAGAAAAACAAGTAGCAAGAGAGGTGCAGAGGGAACTTGCTGGCATTTTGGATCTGGACTTACCCATTTGGGTGGGACCAGTCTGATATGCTTCAGATATGTTCTCTCTGTAATGGCACAAGATGAGCTAAAACCAGCTTGAGATCTGAGCAGGGACCTAATTGAGCTGTTATCCGTTCTCACCTCTCTTGCTACTTGTTTTTCTCTCCTTAAGTTTAAAGGGTAATCCAGACATGGACCCCTTGCTCACGGTGCGTAGAGGGATATTGGCTATACCCCACTGATGATACCTTACAAGGTTGAAACGATTGTCTGGGGTTGCTGTGTGTCTAGTGCAGAGGGAACTTGCTGGCATTTCAGATCTGGACTGCCCCGTATGGGTGGGACCAGTCTGATATGCTTTAGATATGTTCTCTCTGTAATGGCACAAGATGAGCTAAAACCACCTCTTACCTGGAGGTTGGCACAGAAAAAGCACATTATTATTATTATGATGAGAAATTAAACAATTGTTCTAACGCTTATCCTTAGTTAAAATGTTTGTCGGGACTGATCTGGTTTGTTTGTTATTTTGCAATTATAATGGGTTTTCAATGTTTTATACAAAAGTGTAATTTTCAGTTGATAGTTCCCCTTTGATGGCATGTAACAAGTGTAATTGTAACAGTGTTTTGTGTATGAATGTTTGGCTTAAAAAAAGAGCAAAATGACTGTAGTTATCAAGAATTTATTTTTATTTTTCAACATTTCAATTTTCAAACTTATAAAGAATTTAATACAACAATATTGGTTTTGACTATATATGACCCTCATGAATCTGCAGTCCACCACAGGCTGAGAGTAGCCTAAACAGCTCATGACAGTTGTGACTTGATTAATTTTAGAGTATTTTTTACAGGATTTTACCACCAATTTATATGCAAATCCCTTCTATATAGACACTCATCCACATTCCTCTTTCAATTGGAGTTTCCGATCGGGCTCAAATGTCAATTCCCTATCTGTAACGTCTGTACACTGTTGCATACACCCTCTCCTTTTCATGGATATATCTCTCCTTTTCATGGATATATCTCTCTCTCCTTTTAATGAATAATGACAACTCCAAAAATAACTACATAGCATAATCAGTCACATAGGCTTGTTTACCAGAATATTACTTAATAACTTAAATGCCCAAGCAAATATTATTAACTTTTTTGTGTCTGCAAAGGGTAAAATGTTGCTTCCTGTTTTCTAAAATAGGACAATTCTAAATTTCCTAAGATTCTTTCTCATAAAAAATTTACAGTTTTCCAATGAAGCTGGCCGTTTTTGCACTGATTCACACTGCTTAATATTTCAAAGTCAAATGTATATCACTAAGCAATGTTTAAAGTGGAAGTAGTGTACCAACCGAGGACACTGGGATAAATAGCCAATTATGATCAGGATAGCTACAGATAAAGATGAATCTCAAATCTCAGATATAAAGAACATAAGATCGAAAAAATAAAAAATGTTTATTAATATACATGTATTAAAAAATTGCCAAAAACAGCTGAGCCAAATGACTAGTCCTCACTGAGAAATCTGCTGAACAAGCGTGTGAATCATGTATATTTCATCACGTATAATAAAGTCTTATTGTGGAAATACGGCAGTACTCAATAGGGATAGCCGTAGCTAGAAATGGTATCCCAATACATGAGTTCTCCTAACTCTGACCCTGCAGATTTTGCTGAACTACAACTCCCATAATTCATTGCTTGTAATAGAAAGCCTGAAAATCATGAGTGAAAATTTGTAAATACCAACTCACCCTCAGCTAGTAGTTTAATAACTATGCCATATTGTCTTCATCTTCTTTGTTTGGCCTACTATACATACTATGGAGTGACCGCCAAGGAGTAAAAGCATGTTTGCATCTGTTAGTGGTGATAGTAGGCGCATATGTTGGAGCTAAACTTTAGCCCCGTAAGGTGAAAGTGCACTTCCTTACCTATTATCTTTCATTTAACAAATATAATACACTATCATCTCCCTTTTCATATTACTACAACTAAGGACTTTGAGAGCTCTACTCCCACTTCTACAGCTGTGAAACAGAGATCCCTGGTCGGGTTGTATTGCTGCCTACATGCTCCACCAGTGTGCTTGTTATTGCTTTACTATCCGTGTTGTATACATTTTACTTTGTCTACATATTCTGGATGTGTTTGAAGGCTTGCATGAAATGGTACTGGTACTCTATGCACAATATACCATTTATATTATTATTACACTTTTATTTAATGATCTTGGTATGCATTCTCCTTTATGATAAATTGTACACATTTCCATACCAATAAAAATTTTTCCTGGCAGTTAAGTAGTTTATATAAATTAGACATCAATTTGATGAGATTTTGCATTTCATTGACTTTTCCCCTTCCTTAAAGCAAAAGAAGTGCAGTAAATGTCTAGCCACCCATACTACCAATCTTTATATCAGTACGAAGAATTTGGCACAACTAAACCAAATAATTATTTATGTTTTATCCCACAAAACATACGAGATGTAAACAGAGCACTTTCTCATAGACACAGTGCTATGTGATAATGAAGATTGTAACCCCCCCCCCCCCGACCCTCAGCATCCCCAATATTTAATGATTCAGGTAAATTGCATAGCGTGTTAGGCCCTGAGTGTCAGAACTAGTGGGAAAAAATTGTGAAAGTGTACAAACTTTCTGCTCAGATTTTTACATGTGCAGTTATATTGGGATTTGTATTAGTCAGTGGACACAACCTAGAGGTGTGAGTGAGCTTACACACAAAGATTGCCTCACGTCTTCCACAAAATGCATACTTTCTGTCTTTATATTAGGAAAATACAGTAATTTCAAAGGCTCATTACCCTAGATCTAGAAACATCTCTGTATTTGCCTTATATTTAGCTACAGTTGGCGTCAGAAGAGTAAAAAAACTAGCACAAGGCCCGGAGTGCATAAATAAAAAAAAAAGTATGAAATATAAAAAATATAATGATGTTAATTTGCCGTATTGCAAGGGAGAATGTTATACTGCCGTGTGTGAAGATGCCCCTAGATAATAATTACTGCCTAATACATCACTACAAATAAAACAGTACACGGAATGTGGGACTCTAACACCGCACTGTAATGGCTATGATGCAAATAGTCTATGGTACTTACATGGATAAATGTAATTCTAAAATTCTGTTATTTTGTGATACATGAAAAGTATTTAAAAAAAAATAAAAGTTTTTAAAGGGTCCAATAAACCTAAGGATTATTGAAGTAAATCACCAGATTTGTGCCGATTGTACATTCCCCAAAGAACTTACTGAGTACACCTGTGATGTATAGAAAGAAGAGAGTTGGATGCAAAAACATAACATGTGGGAAAATGGAATACCCATATGGTAAATTAACCACAAGACATTAAAAGCTCACTTTCAATAAATCATAAATAAAAAAGTCCATCAATAGTGGACTTGTGAACGTAACACAAACTGACAGAAAAATAGTACATTTACAAACAAAAGTGTGGGTTATAGGTGCTTGGTTCTTATTAATGTGTTACATATTAATTTATAGCCGCTGAAAAAACTGTGTGGGTGCTCCAAAATCACCCACTATATAAAACAAATACAGGTAAACACAATACCAGGTGTTTAACCCCTTAAGGACCAAATGTCTGGAATAAAAGGGAATCATGACGTCACACATGTCATGTGTCCTTAAGGGGTTAAAGTGGTTATTACCCCAAACACCCAATACTTTTAGTGCCGTGCTAATTTGGATTCAAACTTACCCTTACAAAATTTCAGGGCAAGTTAGACCATACATGTAAAAAGAAACATAATAACATATAGTGTAAATCCATCACACAATAAGTGAGATACAGTGGTGTAGGTGAGTGCTAAACATGTTAAATACCACTCACCATAACGGGTTTTTTACGTTATCCCACGGCTGACTGGCACTAGTGTTGCTCAGCAAATTTTTTTCATCCTTGTAACCAATGGTGTATTCTGGATTTGTGCTGCCCTAGGCATGACTAAATTCAGCACCCCCTTATTTAAATTTGCCCCACCAATTTGTGTCACAGACTTTGTTTTTGACTGACAGACACACACACGCTCACAATGACAGACACAAACACACACTCACTGACAGTACAAACATACTCACTGCCAGACACACACAATGACAGACAAAAACACACACTCACCGACAGTGCAAACATACTCACTGCCAGACACACACACACACACACTCACAATGACAGACACAAACACACACTCACCAACAGTACAAACATACTCACTGCCAGACACACACACACACACACACTCACAATGACAGACACAAACACACACTCACTGACAATACAAACATACTCACTGCCAGACACACACACACACACACTCACAATGACAGACACAAACACACACTCACTGACAATACAAACATACTCACTGCCAGACACACACACACACACACACACACACACACTCACAATGACAGACACAAACACACACACACTCACTGACAGTACAAACATACTCACTGCCAGACATACACACACATTTTCTCATAGACTCACCAGTTATCAATATTTTTTTAATCTAAAAGGACATATCTCCCTAATCGCCCGGCTAGAATATTAGTACTTTAACACCTGGGAGGGGGGGCCCTAAGGTGGCAACCAGCTATTGGGCCCCCCAGTAAACAAGGCAAACAATGCATTTACCTGGGCACATGGGGCTGCATTTTTTGCTGCCCCCCGAAAGTGCCGCCCAAGGCAAATGCCTTGTTTGCCTTGTGGTAAACACAGCCCTGCTTGTAACCATACTATGTTTATAGACATTGTAACATTGTTATACGTTACAATTGTTGCAATATTTTGGCAGCACTCCATATTTTGGCTGGTCAGCGAACCATTTCTCTGCGCTCACATACAGGAGCACTGATACATCTGATTAGAGGGCTTAGTAGCCTCTATATACCTTAATGCTAGTGTTAAATGGGTAAAACGTATCATGGTTTAGTACTTTTACTCAAAAATATTGTCTGATGTTCAGTCACAATTACCTTGACATCTCGTTGTCAACTTAAAGGACCACTATAGGCACCCAGACCACTTCAGCTTAATGAAGTGGTCTGGGTGCCAGGTCCATCTAGGATTAACCCTTTCTGCTGTAAACATAGCAGTTTCAGAGAAATTGCTATGTTTACTTTAGGGTTAAAGGACCACTATAGGCACCCAGACCACTTCAGCTTAATGAAGTGGTCTGGGTGCCAGGTCCAGCTAGGTTTAACCCTTTTTTCTATAAACATAGCAGTTTCAAAGAAACTGCTTTGTTTATAATAGGGTTAAACCAGCCTCTAGTGGCTGTCTCATTGACAGCCGCTAGAGGCGCTTCCGCGCTTCTCACTGTGATTTTCACAGTGAGAAGATACCAGCGTCCATAGGAAAGCATTGAGAATGCTTTCCTATGGACTGGCTGAATGCACGTGTGGCTCTTGCCGCGCATGCGCATTCAGCCGATGACGTCGGCAGAAGGAGGAGAGTCCCCAGCGCCGAGGGAGCCCGTCGCTGGAGAAAGGTGAGTGTTTAACCCCCTTCCTCTCCCTTCAGCCCAGTGGGAGTGGGACCCTGAGGGTGGGGGCACCCTCAGGGCACTATAGTGCCAGGAAAACGAGTTTGTTTTCCTGGCACTATAGTGGTCCTTTAACGAGTTCAAGTGTGTCATTAGCGATCTAGACGCTATAAATTAATGGGCTGTTACAGCCATGATATCACTATAATGCTATCGATCCTTCTAATGACCGACTGTACATTTTATCGGTTTCCTTGCTTTGTAAAAAGTACTATTTTTCTGTCAGTTTGTGTTACGTTCACAAGTCCACTATTGATGGACTTTTTTTTACTTATCATTTATTAAAAGTGAAGTTTTAATGTCTTGTGGTTAATTTACCATATGAGTACTCCACTCCCACATGTTATGTTTTTGCATCCTCCAACTTTCTTCTTTTTGCATATTTAGAGATTAAAAGGGGTTATCCCCCAGCTAGGAGGTTTCCTGAAAACATTGGCTCCAGCCTTCTCCTTTTCTTTCCTTTTTTCTTTTAAGCTCCATTTAACACCTGTAATGTATACCTTCCAAGTGTCCCTATATTGGAGAGACAGTCCTGTTTTTGAGCCCCCTCTCTTCTGTCCAAATGTCTGCCTTTTGTAGGAGCTCAGAATTCTCAGAGTGTTTAAATTTATACCAGCGCTCCTCATAAACAAGTCTTTAATATACAATAAATGTGTTTAGAAGTCAGTCCCTGTAAATAAGACATTAGTCTGTGTACTTTTCTCTTGTTGTAAATTATTGTTTAATTACATAAAATTGTTTTTAGTAAGTCATGAAATCGTCATAACATTTTCCAGATTAATCTGAGCCCCTGGCCACACCTGACTCACACCCCTAAAAAATGCTGGAATTTATGTTGATGCCACCGATTCGTTGAGTGATAGTGATACTTCATGCAATCACTATGATTAGGTAGATTTGGAAACACAACTGAATTCATTTAGGACAAGGGTGCCCAAGAGATAGATCCCCAGATTTTGTAGAACTACAACTCCCATGATGCATTGCATTCCCTTAGAATGACAAAGTATCCTGGAAGCTGCAGTTTTAAACCATCTGGGGATGTACATCACCCCTGATTTAGGAGATAAACGTCTTCTTGTCAGCTACACAAAATGTTAGAGGCCAGGATCAGAATTAGAAACTAAATATCACAGAATTCGAAACCTTCATTTACTATGAGGGGAAATGTTTTTTTGTTTTTTTTTATATTAAAGGTTGCTGCATTTTTAAAGGAGATTAAAACTGAGAAAAATGTTGCATCTACAACAGTAAAAGGTGTTAAGAGCATAACATGAAAAAAAGAGGGATTTGCTAAACCTCTGGAATGTAAGGTTTAGTATCACAGTTTTTTTTATTACAACGTGGGGTATAATCAAGTTTGGCTCTGCAATTTTCTTTTCAGAGATCTCATTCTGGAAATGACTACATCCCAGTCCAGGTAGGAGCCTTCCAGGTGGCGTGACACGTCCCCTCCAGATTGGTACTTTTTACGGCCATGTAGAATTCGCCAGTTGTCAAAGGTCACCACTTGGCCTGAACATAAAGAAATAAAACATTCTCAAGTCAAACGGTGTAAGATGCCACGTGAGATATTGTAAACCGTTGATTTGATTGCGGCGGCGAGGCTCATCTTCCTGTCCGCACGCACCTCCCATGCCTCACCCTTCTGTCAGTCTCTACATTGGCTTCATTTAAAATATAGAGCTCAATTTAAAATTCTGGTTCTTGCTTTCAAATCTCTACATAATGCTGCTCCCACCTAGCTATCCTCCCTAATACACAAGTATGTCCCGTCTAGGCCCTTACGATCTGCTGAAGACTTACGTATATCTTCTGTTCGTACTCCCACCTCTGATGCTCACCTTCAAGACTTCTCGAGGGCTGCACCGTTCCTGTGGAACTCGCTTCCCTCCTCCGTTAGATGCTCACCCAGTCTCCACTCCTTTGCAAAAGCTTATCAATTAAACTGTTACTCCCTCTTATCAATTAAATCCACTCCCTCTGGCATGTAAGCTTATTGAGCAGGGCCCTCAACCCCTCTTTTTCTGTGTCTCAAACTTGTCTGGTTACAATTACATGTTTGTTAGTCCAGGCATTGTAAAGTGCTACAGATTTGTTGGTGCCATATAAATAATAATAATAATAACAATAATAACAATAATTACATTAATTGAATTAAAGAACAGAAGAATAAAACGAGTTTGATTATTTTCATTGCAGTTCAAAAACACATACTTACAACTATCAGTTCATTTAATAAAGTGTTGGGAATGTAAGGTTAGTGAATTTTAAATTTAAGGTCAAAGTTGGCCAACATGAACCGTAGCTACTTCATAAATGTTTTCCAGTTCATTTATTTTGTCCCTTAATTTGTAAATCCCTTTGAATTTACTACGGTTCTCCAAAACTCTATGTGTGACGTGACCATATCATGCTGTCACATTTATAATACTTTATTAAGATTGGTTCTTTGACTGTAGTGTCATGTGGATGCGGATTCATGCAATTGGAAATCTGAGTAATGGGAAAAATGCAAACCCAATGTTACACTTACTACCTTGACCACTCATGCTTTTAGAAGTGGCTATGGTGGTAGGAGCCTGCATATGCTGAAAAACTACATACAAAGATACAGTATGGGGCTAGACAGCCTGGACGTTGTTCTAGGCTGCCTAATGTCAATTCATTGCACAATGTATGTCTGATGTTCTGGCGATAGACGTAATCATCTTCAGGCAGCGAGCATGCAAGGGGAAGTTTGATCTTTCTCCCCTCCTTCCCAGAACACCCGGCCACTTTACATTTAGTAATCTCACATTTCTAAAAAATATTTAAATAAAGCCCTTCTACCCCCCTCCCCTGTCGATCTGCATGCGCTCAGAGTTGGTAAGAAAAGTCCAATGCTGACATTGGATTCAAGGTAAGTTTTAGAGTTATTTGCGACTTTATAAACAGGACTTTCTCAATTAAATGTATTTTTAAACAAGGGTGGGAGTAACCCTTTAATATGAGTTGCGAGTGCTGTGCATCTTGCTTTTCACTTGTGGGGATGTCATTATAGTCATCATTAATATAGCATCAGAATGTTTTGCAGTGTGTAACAATTTTGCAAAGTGGATAAAACAAGCAAAAAACAACTTTAGCTTTAAGGGAGACATTTTGGTATAGATCATGCCTCTACATTATCACTGCTCAATACTGTGCCATTTAGGAGTTAAATCACTTTGTTTATGCAATCCTACCCACACCTCCTCTTGCAATTTCCCCAAAAATGTTTAACTAATTTCTTGTTGGTTATTAAATGCTCCTAACTCGAACCATACCTTGCCAACTCTATCCCCTAATCACTTATTTTTAAAACTAAACCCCCATAACAGTAAACATCCCTTTACCAGGAAAGGTTAAAGGATCTTAACATGTATAGCTCGGAGGAAAGACGAGACAGGGGGGATATTATTATTATTATTTTATTATTTATATAGCGCCATCAGATTCCGTAGCACTGTACAATGGATATGATAGAAACATTTACATAAAGGGAATCAACACAGTAAAGGAGGAGACTATATTTAAAAGAAGAAAAACTACCACAACAAGAGGACATAGTCTTAAATTAGAGGGGAAAAGGTTTAAAAATATTATCAGGAAGTATTACTTTACTGAGAGGGTAGTGGATGCATGGAATAGCCTTCCAGCTGAAGTAGTAGAGGTTAACACAGTAAAGGAGTTTAAGCATGCGTGGGATAGGCATAAGGCTATCCTAACTATAAGATAATGCCAGGGACTAATGAAAGTATTTAGAAAATTGGGCAGACTAGATGGGCCGAATGGTTCTTATCTGCCGTCACATTCTATGTTTCTATGTTTCTATCCCCAAACCCTATCCAAAAGGCTTAAAATACTAACGCCATCTGAATGTTACTTGCCAGCACAAATGCACACAACTAAGGAGTGTCAGTAAGTGTCTGAATACAGGTATGTATATGTGTGGAGGATCAGCATGTCTGACTAAAATGGTGTACTTGTGTGGACTGAGGCTGTGTAAATCTATAAAGTGGTCCTGAGAGTCAGTGTATGTGTATGCATGTGTGAATCAAGGGATGCATGTATGCAGAGGGATAATGTGTGCATGTGTTAATTGAGGGGTGCATATGTCCATTTGTGAATCCAGGACTGCATGTCTAAATCCTGGTAAAATATTTTATAAATAAATAAATAATTTGTGTGCTTTGTGAATTCAGAGGTGTACAGGTATGTGGGCTGACCTCCTTGATTGGCAGGCGGCTTAGCATGCATTCGTATCAGGCTGACCTGCCCGTAATTCAGGTGGACCCACAATTGTTTCACTGTCCTCTTTACCATCTCAAGTAGCAGTCCTCTTCTCATGATACCAATGTTGTGGGGTACGGGGGAAGCGGACTTCTAGCAACTCAACCCTCTCCTGCTAGTAGCCTACTAAGGGCAGCATGTTTGCCGCCTTAAAAGGAGGCATTGGGAATAGCAAGTGGCTGTCAGACAGATAATGAGGGTGACTCACAAAGTTTCTCATAGGATTTAATCAGATTATTTAGCAAACAACCATAAATCTGGTTATACTTTTCTAGCAGCGATATAGAGGCATAATAAGTGGGGAGGAAAATATTAAAAGGACGTTAACAACACGTAAAAAACAGACACATCTCAAAGTGTATGTTTACACCAAAAAAGTTAAAAACTGCAACAGAAAAAAAAAGAATAATATAGTTTAATTATTTATTTAATTTTTTAATTGCAGCAGAAATTGATGTGGTGCTGCCCCAGCTACCCATATGGACGAGCCTCCACTACTATTGACAATTCTTAGTTATGATGTCTGCAGGCTTAGGAGGTGGACCTAGGGTACTGGAAATGCCTATATTGTTTGTCATATTATCTGAAACAATTACCGGAGAGAGTGCACCCATCGCTCCCAACACCATTAGCACTGTATTAAGAAAGGTTACTGATATGTTGCTTAGAGTGTCCCTATGAAGGTATGATAAAATAATAATAATAAACATTCCAGTGGGGTTTAGCAGGGTGAATGTACGTTACCAACCTGGTTTCATTTTGAAAGAGAGTGTATTTTCTGGTTTGTTCATGAGATTGACAAACTCCTTCAGTGAAGAGTAAAACGGCTGAACGTCTTCAGCTGGTATATCGAACACAGAATCTCTTGTTGCATTATTAAAATTAATACGAAGGAGCCCACCATTTTGGTCTAACCTAGAGGGAATATACAGAAATATTTGAGACCTCGAGAATAACGCAACATACTTTCTACATACAAGAAATATTGCCTAGAGTGATTCAGCTTTAGCCTGAATTCAGAACAATTATTTGCGTCCCAAATCTGTGGCACCTTTTTAGAAAGAGCAAAGGCGGTTTGATAATTATTTGCACAGATAGGAGAGAGAAAGGGTGTTATATTTTAATACCTTTTGATAGTCCAAATATCTCACTTTTACGTAATATGAGAGTAGCTTTCATAAAGTCAAAGTTGGATTGAGTAGACAAAACTGTGATCATTCTCCAAGAGATATTAAATAAATACCACCATAATGCAAAAAAAAAAAAAAAAACACGTCAAAACACAATGTGCCATATTTTATTAAAGGTGCTCGTTTCTTCCCTGACTGAAGGTGACATTGATTACAGTTCTGGCATTCAACTCATTAATAAACAAGCATTACGTTGGACAGAGGATGGTACAATGATCTTTTACCAGAATACATGGATTATAATGTATTTTCTATTAATATATCTCAAGAGATATGGTGATCAGCCAAGTACAATATATGTGGTTACTCAATAATTTTAAAAGAAAAGAAAAAGATACACATACATACAAAGACACGTACAAACAGACAGGCACACATACATACAGACAGACAGACACACACAACAAACATACATACAAAGACACATACAAACAGACAGGCACACATAGATACAGACAGACAGACACACACACACAACAAACATACATACAAAGACACATACAAACAGACAGGCACACATACAGACAAGACACACATACATACATACAAACAGACAGACAGACATACATACAGATAGACAGACACACACATACACACACACACACGAAGATGATGGTCACTTGAGAGCTATAGCTGTAGAATAACTTAGGTATAACATGTTCTGCTGAGTGAGTTCTTACTCGTTTCAAACAGAAGATGGCAGAATTTAGCTTTCTAAATGCCTATTCTTGGGAGATTGATGCAATAAAATTACAGCGGAATAACAGCAGAATGGAGCCAAATGTGCTTACTCTATAATACGTTGCTTGGATTGCAGTGAGAAATCACAGTAATCAGTTCCAATGTCCGTGAAGTCGACTTGAGTAGATGTGAGAATGTTAAATGCTTTGGGATTCTGCTCTCGGAGTTTATGGCAGATGTGGAACCCATCTACCATTTCACTCTCACCTCCAGTTTCTGCTTGCTTCAAACAATGAAGAAATTGTACCTGTTGGGGAGATGACAAATACAAGTCTTTCTATTCATATAGTTAGTAAAAAAGAATGTGGCTCAGACCTGCCAGACCACAAAACACTCAAAGGGACACTCAAGGGACCAAAGGCGCAAAACCCCCCAAACCACTGGCACCTTCGTTTCATTTTCTGTACTCACTTACTCCTAGATTTATGGAAATGAAATTTATGGAAAAAAGACAGTTTTCCAGCCAATTTCAGTAGCAAGACCTCAAATTGGTGCAATGTAGCTATGACCAGGATCTTATTCTTTAACTATTTTACATCATATATAGAGGGTTTAGCTAAACCTAAGTTGTCAAGTGGTTTTCATTCATTTGCGTAAGTGGGCTTGAATTATATTTTTAAATAAATAAAATCCCAGCAGTGGGTGGTATAATAACCCTCAAACAAAGCTTAGCCAGCACACCTGGGGGACCAAGGATTGTCAAAGAACGCCCACTTATTCCATGTATAGTAACTGGACGTAGAAGATAAATTACACCCCAAAAGACAGACATTCTGCAGTATATTTAATTTTAATTAAAAGTAACAAAAAAGTCTGTTTGTAATCCATTATCTATATATCAGTTATCACGCTTGATAAAGGCTCTAGCTACATGTTAGAATCCAAAACTGTACTGTTCTTCATCCAATAAATCTGTAGATCTATGTGCAATATTTACTTCTATCATTTTAATATACTGGAGACTGGAGTTTGGTCATCTCTGGACTGGAAGTACGGTTGCTTTTCTAAACGTGTACTTGCCCAACTATTCCTTGTCAGCAAAAAATATCCACCAGATACTGACTCTGGTTTGCAGAAAACTCAAATTTCTCTTACGCTGCTGGCCACTAGAACATTAAAATGAAATAAAATATAGACACAGAAACGCTGGCACACAAATCTGGCTACATATATGCTGTTTTGTAATTCTCATCACAATGATTTTTATAAGGTGAGCAATTTATTGAAGATGAATTTCTGAATCGGTTCCCAGTGACATTAAAGTATCAAATTTAAATCCCAACATGTGCAAGTTGCAGTGTCCTGTATGTGGGTATTTGTTTTTTTACTTTTGAGGCAGCATTAACCATCAGGGCCAGTGCAAGTGACACTGTGTGTTAGTGAGAGTGTGCAAGTGACACTGTGTGTTAGTGAGAGTGTGCAAGTGACACTGTGTGTTAGTGAGAGTGTGCAAGTGACACTGTGTGTTAGCGAGAGTGTGCAAGAGATGCTGTGTGTTAGTGAGAGTGTGCAAGTGACACTGTGTGTTAGTGAGAGTGTGCAAGAGATGCTGTGTGTTAGTGAGAGTGTGCAAGTGACACTGTGTGTTAGTGAGAGTGTGCAAGAGATGCTGTGTGTTAGTGAGAGTGTGCAAGTGACACTGTGTGTTAGTGAGAATGTGCAAGAGATGCTGTGTGTTAGTGAGAGTGTGCAAGTGACACTGTGTGTTAGTGAGAGTATGCAAGAGATGCTGTGTGTTAGTGAGAGTGTTCAAGTGACACTGTGTGTTAGTGAGCATAGGCGTGCGCACGGGGTGTGCCGGGTGTGCCAGGGCACACCCTAATCCCCACAGCACGCCTATGTATATTGAGACCGGCAGGGGAGATCTCAGGATCTCCCCTGTTGGCTCATACAGAGCCGGCGCTATCCGAACGCCGGCTCTGCTCTCAGCCTCCCTCCCCACTGACCCACATGCAGGGAGGGAGGCAGGAGAGGACCCGGCGGAGCTATTGCCGGCAGCTCCGCCGGGTTCCTCTCGCGGGATTCCACAGAGGCTGGAGTTCACTCTCCACTGGACCACCAGGGATGGAAGCAGCAGCACGATCCCCCCTCCCTACAAAAGGTAAGCAGGGAGGGGGGATAGCAAGTAATGTACCCCCACCTCCACCCCCACACATACAGCACCCACAGACACAGCACCCACACACATACAGCACACATACAGCACCCACAGACACAGCACCTACACACATACAGCACCCACAGATATACACAGCACCCACATACATACAGCACTCACACAGCACCCACACATATACAGCACCCAAAGACATACACAGCACCCACACACATACAGCACCCACACACATACACAGCACCCACATACATACAGCACCCACACAACACCCACACACATACAGCACCCACAGACATACACAGCACCCACACACATTCAGCACCCACAGACATTCAGCACCCACATACATTCAGCACCCACATACATTCAGCACCCACAGACATACAGCACCCGCACTGTACACCTCACCCACACAGCACCCCACACACACACATACAGCACCCACAGACATGCACAGCACCCACACACATACAGCACCAACAGACATACACAGCACCCACAGACATACAGCACCCACAGACATACACAGCACCCACACACATACAGCACCCACAGACATACAGCACCCACACACATTCAGCACCCACAGACATACAGCACCCACAGACATACAGCACCCACAGACATACACATCACCCACACACATTCAGCACCCACACACATACAGCACCCACAGACATACACAGCACCCACACACATTCAGCACCCACAGACATACAGCACCCACACACATACAGCACCCACACACATACACAGCACCCACAGACATACAGCACCCACAGACATACACAGCACCCACAGACATACAGCACCCACAGACATACACAGCACCCACACACATACAGCACCCACACACATACAGCACCCATACACAGCACCCACAGACATATACAGCACCCATACACAGCACCCACAGACATATACAGCACCCACAGACACAGCACCCACAGACATACACAGCACCCACAGACATACACAGCACCCACACACATACAGCACCCACATACATACACAGCACCAACACACATTATGCACCCACACACACATACAGCACCCACACACACATACAGCACCCTCACAAACAGACACAGCACCCTCACACACAGCACACAAACAGCACCCTCACACACACACAGCACACTAACAGTACCCTCACAAACACAAACAGGACCCTAATAAACACACACGCAGCACACTACCAGTACCCTCACACACAAACAGCACCCTCACACACAGTACATTAACAGCACCCTCACAAGCGCACACACACACACAAACAGCACCCTCACACACAGTACATTAACAGCATCCTCACAAGCACGCACACACAAACAACCTCACCCACATAGCACACTACCAGCACCGTCACACACACATCACACTAACAGCACCCTCACACAGCACACACACACACACACACACACACACACAGTAGTGTGTGTATGTGTGTGTATATATATATACATACATACATATATATGTGGCGTGTGCTTGTGTTTTAGGGTGCACACCCTAATGCAATAGCCTGCGCACGCCTATGTTAGTGAGAGAGTGCAAGTGACACTGTGCATGTTAGTGAGAGTGTGCAAGTGACACTGTGTGTTAGTGAGAGTGTGCAAGTGACACTGTGCATGTTAGTGAGAGTGTGCAAGTGACACTGTGTGTTAGTGAGACTGTTCAAGTGACACTGTGCATGTTAGTGAGAGTGTGCAAGTGACACTGTATGTTAGTGAGAGTGTGCAAGAGATGCTGTGTGTTAGAAAGAGTGTGTAAGTGACATTGTGTGTGTTAGTGAGACTGTTCAAGTGACACTGTTTGTGTGTTAGTGAGACTGTGCAAGTGTCACTGGGTGTGTTAGTGACAGTAACAATGTGTGTTAGAAAGAGTGTGTAAGTGACACTGTGTGTTAGTGAGAGTGTGCAAGTAACAATGTGTGTGTATGTCAAAGATAGTGTGTGTGTTAGTGAGACTGTGTATGTGTTAGTGAGAGTGTGTAAGTGCCACTGTATATGTCAGTGAGTGTGTTAGTGAGTGTGTTAGTGATAGTGTGTCTCTGTGTTAGAAAGAGTGTGTAAGTGACACTGTGTGTGTTAGTGAGAGTGTGCAAATAACACTGTGTGTGTATGTCAAAGATAGTGTGTGTGTGTTAGTGACACTGTGTATGTCAGTGAGTGTGTTAGTGATAGTGTGTCCCTTTTTTCCCTAAATGTGTGCTTACAATGTCTCCTAAATATCTCAACAGTCTCTCTATCCTTTCCCTAAATGTCTCCCCAAGCTGTTTACATTTTCTAAATTTCTCACCGTGCATCTGCTTTCACTTAAAGGAACACTATAGGCATCCAGACCACTTCAGCTCATTAAAATGGTCTGGATGCAGTGTCCCAGGGCCATTAACCCTGCAGAAGTAACAATTGTAGTTTTTAACAAACTGCAATAATTACCGTTCAGGGTTAACTCGACCTCTAGCGGCTATGCATGGGGACATCCTGCATCACGTAGAACCCCATAGCAAAGCATTGTATAATACTTTCCTATGGGGAAATCCTACCGCGGCCATTGAGGAGTGAAGGTGGACCCGAGCCAGCATCGAGGGACATCAACGCTGAACCTGGGAAAGTGATTAAAGTTTTTTTTTACCCCCTTTTGCACCACGAGGTAGGGGCGCTTGACAGAGGGGGAAGCAATAGTGCCAGGAAAACATGTTGTCTACGCAATGTGTCTCTTTCCCTAAATGTCTCTTTGCTGCAATTCAAAGTTTAGTGAATAAACCTCTGAGAGAATGTAGTTGCATTCATGAGGGGGCGGCAAAATGGAATCCTTGCACCAGCCCTGTTAACCATCCAAAACTGACTAGCAGGCATCAAGCTCTTGCTAGACTGCAACTCACAGTCTCTCCAGTCATCTAAATTTTGTGGGAACAATTATTTCATGAATATTCTTCCACTGAAAGTCTGTTGCTAAATTGCAAAATCCAGCATGTCAGCCAATGACTTACTTTTGGAAAGAAACTCCCAGCATTCATAATCAAACCATAACATCGCTAAGCATTCTATGAGTTACTGTTCAAATGTAGCCATCCGTCTGCTGGCTCGGTAGTCAAAGCAGAAGATATTGAGTTGCCAAATTCACAGAAATAAATCCAGCAGCTGTGATTGAAGCATCTAACTTTATTTAAATCATAATAAAATTAAAACATCCAAAGCCTATACCTAACCATTTGAAAGTGAAGAGCAACCCAAAAGATCGAATAGCCATGCTTAAAGGACCACTCTAGGCACCCAGACAATTTCAGCTTAATGAGGTGGTCTGGGTGCCAGGTCCATCTAGGATTAACCCTTTTTTTCATAAACATAGCCGTTTCAGAGAAACGGCTATGTTTATGAATGGGTTAAGCCTTCCCCTATTTCCTCTAGTGGCTGTCTCATTGAAAGCCACTAGAGGCGCTTACGTGCTTCTCACTGTGATTTTCACAGTGAGAGCACGCAAGCGTCCATAGGAAAGCATTGATAATGCTTTCCTATGTGACCGGCTGAATGCGCGCGCAGCTCTTGCCGCGCATGCGCATTCAGCCCAGGAGGAGGAACGGAGGTGGAGAGCTCCCAGCCCAGCGCTGGAAAAAGGTAAGTTTTTACCCCTTGCCCCCTTCCAGAGCCGGGCGGGAGGGGGTCCCTGAGGGTGGGGGCACCCTCAGGGCACTATAGTGCCAGGAAAACGAGTATGTTTTCCTGGCACTATAGTGGTCCTTTAATACATTTGACCCCTAGTGATGCTTACTCACATCAAGAAAACGAAAAACAAAACCAAACAGAATATTCACACAAAAACGCGTTGCCCATTTAAAAAAGGTGAAAAAGACCAAAGGAAGTACCTTCGTGGAAAAAGCAACAAACAGAAACAATATAATAAAAATCACAAAATAAAGAAGTGAAATAAAAAATACATTTAAATAAAAAGTCAATCTTACAGATTACGTCCTTGAAAATAACAACATAATATTTTTACCTTGTAAATGCAATTATTGAGCAAAAAAAATAACAAGATCTTAATAAGCATATATATATATTATTACATTAATTTAATAAAAAATTGTAGATTAATTATATTGAGAGGTGACAGAGCCACTGTATACTTGATAATTATTATCTCCACTGAATCTTAACATCTCATACAGAATGTATACCATAAGGCTCACAGTTTTAGAGAGTAGCGATCCCAAGGTTTTTTCTTTCTAAAACATTTCTCTCAATGGGAGATCACCAGCGCCCAAGCGGGCAGCTTCAGTAGTAGTGCCTGGGGCAGAGGAAGAGACAGATGGAAAGGTCGTGTGAAGAGAACTTTGGACGTTAAACCGTTTCAAAATGGTTTAACCCCAGTAGGTAGGGGGACCCCCAGGGCCTCTACATTTCATTACGACTTCAAGTTATGACCTGGAGTGTTCCTTTAATATGATCAATAAAATTATGAATCTTGGTGGCTCATACCTGGCTCTGCTCTATGTTAATGTTATATTAATTTCCTCTACAAACATTTTTTCATGTTATAATGTCAATTTTGTAATCTGCAATGTTTTTCAATGTTAATTAAGACCACATAAATAAAACACAACAACAACTACTTAAATCTTTTAGAACATCAGATTTCTCATTCCAAAAGCATACATTATAGAACGGCTTGCACATAAGTCTGTGAACTTTTCAACGTTTCTGACTCCTATGGGTCTATGTAATTCTTGGCAGCCTCGGGAATATGAGGTCAGTCACATCTGTTCTCTTGTATACAGCACAGAACCTATGTTTTTCTTTTTGATCATTTACCATTTTTCCAATTAGCAGAATGAGTTTTCCTTTAAAAACAGAAAACACATTTTGAGCCAACGTCCGTGCCCATGGTTCTACTTAAGAAGGTGCTACTGTTTAGAGTACATCGGCAATACTCAATCTTTTGTTACAGACATGGTTGTGGACCTTTACTCCCATCATGCTCAAATGACCCTCAATGCTTAGAATGTTTTAAGGCTCCTGCAACATTCCTGAAGCTGCGGAGATTCCAATCCCTATTTTGTTTTACGAACACAATATTCATGCTTTCATAGAGTCAGGTCCTCCTTATGACTAGCATGATGGGCTTTCTTTGAGGAGGTGATGTTCTAGTGTAGTTCAGTCAAAAGTCTTCCTTGGCATTCAAATAAATTAGGTTTTGATTGAGGTCGGTAGTTCTGTTATTGGCATTTCATGTAAAATATAAGCAGAAAAGAAAAACCAATAGTGCAACCCAGTATGTTCAATATCTCAATAATGTGAAGAAAAATAATCACTCACAAAGATAGAGCCTCCAATCAGCTCTTAGATAAGACTTTTAGTTTTATAATCTCCACTCAGGGATAAAACTGGATTTTTTCTCTTTGAGTATTCACAGTGGAAGCAGCATATGAAAGAATAAAAACGGGATATCGTGCTCACTTTTTCAAACCAATAAAAGTGTGTGGAAAAGTATGAAAATTACTCACAATTTTAAGAGCACCTTAGGCTCAATGAGATCAGCTCAGGTGGAACAATTCCCGCCAAAGCTATATATGAGTAGAGTTAGATGTTGTGATGGTCCCTGGCGAGGCTCCTTTAAGATGATAAAATAAATGCAGGATAAAAAAAAAAAGCATAACATTTTGAGGGTAAAAACAATATTTATTGTAATATACCACACAAAATGAAATAAAAGCCAATTAAAAAGTATTTCTGAATAGTCACAACTGGTTTCGCCCTTGGGCTTTCTCAAGTGATCACTAGTGATCAAGTGATCCTTTCATACTAAGAACAATTCATCCTTAAGCAATTAACTGAGATATTCTTCTACGTCATTCTGGAGGTTGCTCAAGTAATCAATTGAGAAAGCCCAAGGGCGAAACCGGTGCCAGAGATGGATAACTCATTATCCGTTACAACAAAGTGTTGAGTACATGTACATGAACAGTCGGCACAGGTCAGAAGATGATGACTATAGAGTTAAATGGTAGAGTCAAGTTCTGGGTGAGGAATCTGATGCCCCACAATCTTACAACTTCCCCAGCCACCACTGCTTATGAGTAAGCTCTGTCTATAAACACAAAATACAACAAGCTCGTGTTGCAGTCCTAAATATCCACGTATACCTCTTATATGCTTTACCTCATGTTATTGGGGACCTTACGATGTTTTTTTCTTGCTAGAGGGCATTTGGCTCAGTTTTTTTTTTAACCACAAAGTTGTGTATGAAAGCTACTCCATCTAAACAAAAACATAAAGTTCCTTACCCCAGGAGGATATTGAAGAGCTGGATAATCTGTGTGAAGACTTAATTTCCCTGAAGTGTAGGCGACATTATTTGCATCTATCTTATCTTGAACTTGCCAGGTGTACCTTAAAACAGATGACAGAAACATTTTAATATCTTCATAATCAATCAAACTATATAATTAGAAAGAAATAAAGGGAGCCTTAATATCTCAATGTGTAGTAGATTCTAAAGAAGTTGTTTCTGCAATAGTTTATTTAACCATATAGTCACATTATATGCTGTGTTACCTAAAGCAGTCTTCTTTGTTATCCCATAACAAAAATAATAAACAATATAATAATAAACTATAATTTAGTAATTCTAACTACGCTGATGAAACCCAAGCATCCTTAAACATCTGCTTTTAGGTTTAGATCAATATTGGAATATAATTTGTTTTAAACAAGGAGTCATTCGAAAGACATTTGTCCTGAAAGCAATAACTTTGAGTTAGACCATTTGAAAATGTAGAGAATACATTGTTGGGTTTCTGTTAGAACATGATTTGTACCCGTGTCCAAATAAAGTATTGATAGACTGTGTACTAGAAATGTATTTGCATGCTACGAACAAATGTTCTTAATTCATGAGAAAGGCATGCTGGTAATCTTTAATTATCTTTATAATTAAAACAAGTTTAGCAGGTGTCAATTCCACATTACTTTGTGCTTGGAAGTAACCCGTTTTTGATTATTGTTTTATTTATTTATAGGACTAGGCTATATGATGCTAAATCCTAGGCAAGGGCTGAGCGATTTCATTTGTCTACCAGTTTGATTACAAATTTTAAAAAAAAAAACAAGAAACTAACAAACAAGTAAAATAATTTAGCTATAACAGAGATAGATCACCACTTCAACGTGGCATTCCGGGTGAAGACAACTATGTTGTCATTGTTATTCAATAAATGCCAGTTATCATTGTTCTACGAGGTTGAATCAGACCTTTCTCTCCTCTAATTCCATTCTTTGACAAGTAGGATATTTCTTGTACTATGACATTGTTTGAAAAGTGTTTATATATCAGTTGTGCGTATTTAAAGCATTACATAAGTCATCTAATCTTTCTGGAGATAGTGGAGATAATAACTAACAAGGTGTTATGTCATCCCAAAGAATGTGACCGGGGATGTAACGAGTGCCAGAATTCCATTGTGGATTGTGACCTTGACTTCTTTCTTGCAAAGTAGAAGGATAATATTTATAATAGTATGCAGATATAAATCTTCAAATGCTATCAAGTTTACCAAAAGGCACCGAGTAATTCGATGGATTAAAGGAACATTAAAGCAATTTTGTTTTCATATGTAATCAAAAATTAATTTTGATTAAAAAAAAAAGAATATCACAAAGTTGCATCCTGTCATATCCACATTATTATTCACATACCTCGATATCTCCAATATTAACACATGTGTGAGGACCTCTGGCAAGAAAACAACAAAGGAACCAGTAATTATTGATGTTAGTTTTGGCTTTGGTATTGATTTTGAAACACCACAAATGCACAAATTACTTCTTTGTTGCTCCTCAGTATTTAAACGTGTCTATTTTGGACTATGGTTATGCAGTCCTTGCCACCCAATTCTGGCTAATAATTCCAGTAAAAGTCTTGAATTGCTGGAGTTGTCTACTAGTCATGGTGTCCAGTATGTGTTACATTTGTATTTTATTAATTTGAGAAAGAGGTAGAAATGCCTGCAGCAAGTTTGGACTCTCCTGGGAAGCCACTTTTCCAACTTGTTGCCGTTACCATTGTGGTGACTCTGTAAAGGTGATTTTCCATGGCAGCACATGTTGTAAAAATTAAACCTTCTCTCCTTTCCCTTTCATATACTAATGCGTATTAAATTACAAGACAGTAAAAGATGGTGCCCGTTTGAATTAGCTGCAAGACTAAAGGTCTGTTTTATAGCCTCTAGATGTTGTAGTGCAATCATTCGAGCCATAGTTAAGGCTATGCCCCACTGATACATTTGTGTATCAATTCTCCTTTATGTAACTTCATCAATATGCATTTATACTAGAATCTAGGCATAGCCGTTTACTCATTCATTTATTCACTGTTAAATCTTGAAATATTTGCACTTTTACTAATTCTAGAAGAATAGTGCATTGAAATTGTATTAACAAATTAAATCAATAAGTTGACATATAAAAGTATTATATTGACCTGCTAAGATCCTGGAGGAAGTGCTCTTATTACTCAGAGCTATATTCACTACCGCAGCCCCGAATCAACATAGGGAAAGGCCGTCTATGAGACTCAATTCGACAGTACTTGACGACGCGCGCTCTGCCAACCATAGATAAGGACGTCTCCGACCAATAAGACGAACCAATAGCCCTAGAGGAACTGGCGCTTGCGATAAAATGCACCAAACCTGGCAAGAGCCCCGGCGCTGAGGGGCTACCAATCCATAATTACAAACGCTTTGCTGACAGCCTGTACAAGCCGATGCTGGCTTCATTTAATGCCGTGAGGGAGGGTCACCACTTCCCTAAGCAAGCACCGACAGCACACATAACTATCATCCCTAAGGAGGGCGGTGAACTGCGGGAACAACAGAGCCATTTCCCTCATCAACTGTGATATAAAATTAATGGCAAAGGTCCTGGCCACGCGTCTGCAGACGCACATTCCCTCCCTGGTACACCCGGACCAGGCGGGACTCGTGACGGGACGTAAGGGCGAGGGGTAATACTACCCGTGCTCTCACCCGATGAGGGGTGGGGACGCAGGGGACCTTCTCTTGCTATGAACTAACTCGGAATAGGCCTTCGACAGGGTGGGTTGGGAATACCTTTTTCAGAATACCTCCACTGCTCTTTGCCATTGCCCTCAAACTCTTCATGCCAACCATTAGACAACACAGGGACATCATGGGAATAAAGACAGGGGAAACACAACATAAGGTGGTTGCATATGCAGACAGCCTTCTCTTTTTCATCTCCCAACCGGAAATCTCCCTCTCGAACATCCTACAAGCTTTTAAAGAATTTGGAGCCATCTCCAACTTGAAAATAAACCTCTCAAAATCATATGTCTTAAACATTATTTTGCCCAGCAGTCGAGCCACCCCCTACACCTAAGCTTCGCTTTCCAGTGGGCGGACCACAAGGTCTGCTGCTTGGGAACTAGGTTAACTAGACTGAGTGGCGATTTATTTGAACAGAATTTCGCCCCTTAATGGCTACATTCTAGCGGGAGATGGCGGAATGGTCCTACCCACACATATCTTGGCTGGGGAGGGTTCAGGTTATCGAAATTAACTACCTCCCATTCTTGCTTTACATGCTACAAGCCCTCCCATTCATAATCCCCAAACCCTTCTTCCCCTCCCTGTGCTCAGCAATGGGACACTATGTGTGGAATGGGAAAAGACTGAGGGTCAGCTCCCCGCTCTCATGCAACCTAAGGACAGGGGAGGTCTGCCAATGCCGGACTTCTACCTATACTACATGGCATGTCATCTTCAAAGGGTGATGGAGTGGATCAAGACAAATGTCCACGAACTGTGGAAGATGGTAGAAGATTCGGAGACAGGAAGACCTGTCTCTGTCCTGCCATGGCACCCCAGAAGGGAGGACAGACAGGGATGCTCCATACTCACTCGACACACCCTACGCCTGTGGCGGAGTGCATCCGGAACCTATAGACTGACACAATACCCATCGCCTCTGCTAACCTAACGGACAACAACGACTTTCCTCCAGGACTGGACCCGAACGCCTTAAGGGACATAATTTGCAATACTAGAATGTTAGATGAACTCCTGGGGGGCGACACCCCTACCTTTTTACAGACTTTCAAATATGAACAACTGACGAACTTCATTGACACCCTCCCCAAAGGACGAGCACTCACCAGGACGCAGGACGCAGGACGCAGGACGCAGGACGCAGGACGCAGGACGCAGGACGCAGGAGACAGCTTTTAAACTGTTGACTAATTGGTATCGCACACGGGCCCAATTGCACGCAAAAGACCCAACTCACTCTTACCTCTGCTGGAGGTGCAGTAAGGGGGTAGGCACCATGCTATACCTCTGGTGGGACTGTGAAAAAATAAGACCTTTCTGGGTGGGTATACATAATATGCTGGAGAAATCCTCTGATGAACCGTCACCCCTGGACCCGGCGACGATGCTCCTGCACCACACAACCAACCCCAGGTACCGGTATAAGGTCCTTCCACAGTCTGGAAACAGGCGATCACCCCCCCACTTCTGTCATGGTTCATTCAAATGGAGGAACTCAGGGCAATAGAGGAGCTTCACATGGGTGCAGCTTACACCGCCACAGCACACATGAAGATTTGGTTCCACTGGATCCTATCCACTGCAGCGGCAGACTTCACATCTCAATTACAATAGTAATTTCACCTGACAGACATGACAACCATGGACTTACACCTCACCTTCCCCACCTTTCCTTCCCCTTAGCCCCCTCTCCTCCCCCTCCCCTCTTCTTCCATGGTATTTCTCTTTGGGTTTCAGAAACCTTCCTGTACAGGGATATTAATAGAAAGGTACCCAGAGCGGAGATTCCCTGTAGCTGAAGGGTCTAGCAACCCTGGCCAGAGTAAGCTGCAGATGGCAATGGGCTCAGAGGGGGGAAAAACATCCTTACCCGGTACTGGGAATAACTTCAACCGCGCACCCACTCTACGAGACTACCAGAGCACTAGGGTCTACAACCATCGATCTAAAGTCAACCTCCCCATTCAAGCCGCAAGAGATAAGCCAACCTAAAATTCTCACCATAACAGGGGAGCCGTAAAAGTCGTACCCATTAGGCATTGGAGGGTACTGCCTACTTATGTCTATATGCTTTAGGACCTGCGAGTCCAACATAAAAACATACGTTATAATGTGACCTGCGTGTCACCAATGCATGACAATGAGATCAGCATTTTTACATTATGATTGCTGATACATGTGATTAAAGGGACTTGCGTGTCCATGCTGAAGTTTTACATATTGAAAAATATTTAATAAAAATATATTTACAAAAAATGTATCATATTGATAGCACTTTATTAAAACCAAAATAAATCTTGTAGGTAATTAAGGAATTACATATTTCAAATCTGTCTACTGACAAAATGTGAGCTTTGGTTTGAAAGATTATAAAAAGTTGTCAGACATTTCTATGTCATGCCTACCTATTACATCTAAAATTGCTCTGTTTAGTGAAATAATTTTCAGAATCCGCTAGTGACAAACATGTGTGCTCCTGTCAATGGTCAGATAAATGCTATTTAATGGGAGAAAATGCAATTATTACAAGTGCTTTCAATTTCCTCACTATTATGCTGTACCTGGTTAATGTCTTCATATTATAAATCATGATGCATTTATTTCTAGTTTAAATCTAATTATGTAATACAGAACGATATGTGGATTGTTCAAATAGATTACAGTGGTTCTGTCCACTGAAGTTTCCATTTCATAAAACTTTAAAACTATATTCACAAATAATTAATCATAGATTCCTACAGCCAAGCTATAGTAGCATTTACTGTCATTTCCCACTGGAGGATATGACTATTTCACAAAGTGGAAATTAAATTATACTACATTTTCATGCCCCCAGTGGGCTGCTGAAAAATGACAGATACCATTTGTTACGAAAGTATCCTCGTCATTGGCTTTTGGAGGGGCCTGTTTGTCAGCCTCCTACCCTGTGATTATGGCCCTGTGACGAATTGAACCTCTTCGAGGTTCTTGGAGGGGCCTGCTGGCCAGCATCTTACCTCAGGACTATGGACCCTGCAATATACCTTGCCCAATGCACTATAAAAGGCTCTGTTCGTCACACCATTTGTAGTAGCCAATCAAAATTCAAGATTTCCACAACTGAGATGATTAGGGAAAAGATAATATAATGGTTTAGTAACTAAACACAATTTACTTTTATTTCAGCTCTTCAAGCTGTTAAAATTAATCAGACATTTATGTATTTATGATCAACTGAATTAAATTCACGTTGATCCGAAATGGTCAGCGCTATTTTCAGATGGATTTATTTAGTGCAAAGAGATTCACCAGCCCAGCGTATTGGAGTGTAACTGTTATCTAATTTCCCTACTACAAGAAGGACAAAATAAGCAGATAGTGTGGGTATGATTTACAGTTTGGGGTACTGTTACAGAAACATTAAGGGAGTATTTGGAGGACACAGGATTTATATTTGCAGTTCCCCTGGTCTCTAGGACGGCTAATGGATGAAATGAAGGAAATGAACTTGTTGGAACTGAACTTGTTGAACTTGTTGCAGCTGTTTGAATAACACATTTACATACACATGTGGCTGATATCACTGGAACTGCCATTGCAAATACATCTGAAATAACTGAAATTGTCTTTCGTGAAGAGCGGAAGTGGGTTCACATAACAAAACGATGGCTGAAACAGACAAATCAACTGATTGCTATTCGGTGATCAGTGAATAAACTCTACAGTTTTTGATCTTTTTGATCACGATGAAATTCCGCCATGCCTAGAGGAAGTCAAGATAACTTAGATATCTTTTATTTTTACTACAAACTGCTGAGTTTATTTTAAAGAGACACTAAGCTCTAAAACCACTTCCTTCTTAATGAAGATAAGGAGCTTTCTTTGAGGACTTTCTATTACTGAAAGGACTTTCTATCACTGAAAGCATGGGATTCTGATTGGCAACAATTTCAATACATGCCCGATACTTCATTAAAGGACCACTCTAGGCACCCAGACCACTTCAGCTTTATGAAGTGGTCTGAGTGCCAGGTACCTCTAGGATTAACCCTTTTTTTTATAAACATAGCAGTTTCAGAGAAACTGCTATGTTTATACTGAGGGTTAATCCAGCCTCCAGAGCCTCTAGTGGCTGTCTCATTGACAGCCTCTAGAGGCGCTTGCGTGATTCTCACTGTGAAAATCACAGTGAGAGCACGCAAGCGTCCATAGGAAAGCATTGTAAATGCTTTCCTATGCGACCGGCTGAATGCGCGCACAGCTCCTGCCGATGACGTCGCGAGCAAGGAGGAGAGGAGGAGTACAGCTCCCCGCCCGGCGCTGGAGAAAGGTAAGTGTTTAACCCCTTCCTCTCTCCAGAGCCCGGCGGGAGGGGGTCCCTGAGGGTGGGGGCACCCTCAGGGCACTATAGTTCCAGGAAAACGAGTATGTTTTCCTGGCACTATAGTGGTCCTTTAATAGTTCTCAATGAGAAGCACTGGAATGGACCAGAGATCATTGAGATGGATGATCTGAGAAGAGGAGGAGGGTGTGCCAGGAGGAGACTGACCACTGAAGCCTCACATCTATGTGGATAAACTGTTTGTTAACACTTTAGCATCTTAATGCAAGATGCTGCCAGGGACCTTCTCGCACCATAACAACTTAATTGCGTGCCTAGATTACATACATTCATATGTAGAATTAAAGTAATTGTAGCCTATTAAAAAGTTACTTAAAAAACCTGCAGTTAAAAAACTTTTTAAGTTAAGTCATTTTATTTTATTTCCCAGCTGCTCTTGGTATTGCCATTGTTATAATATATATGATTTGAATTATTTTGGGGCCCTTTTTTGAAGACAGGAAGAGGCATAAAAAGTTATAACCTAATAAAAATGTAAAAAACCCTCCTTCATTTTATATTCTCTTTAAATGGAGACTAAAGTTTTTGTTTATAGTAAAGACTGCATTTTAGCATTTAGTCATCCTGTATTGGACAGCAAGATAAACATATGTCCATCTACACTAATGTCTGTGTTCTATCATAATGCAATATTGTATCTTGGATGTTAATTATAGCCTGGAATTTAACAATTTGCTGCTTTCATTAAACTCCTGAGTCCTTTTTGTAGCTCCCTCGAGGGTGTATGATTAAAACAGTCTGACCTTTTCACTCGCTACACAGGTTTATAAGGAATACCTTGTACATTCTTCCTTTTACTCACTATAAAGGTGTGATTTTCACACTTACGTAACTAAACTCTTTATTTACACAGCTAGTAACTAGCAGTCACTGTAACACTTAGAGAATCACCTTATAAACATTATTTTGACCCATGGACATTAACGTGACTTCACCGTCCACCTGAAAAAAACCCCTCTCCTTCTGGGCTCGTATTCCAACTCCACAAACCCATTAACACTTTTCTGTTACATATGTATACATGGCAAAACATGAACGGGGCCTTTTAGACATGAATAGTAATTCTGTGTGGCTGCTGAGCTTTTTGACAGAAAGAAAAACAGTTCTCCATGCTTATAATATTTTACGCTTGAATGTCTCATCTTCAGATGAGAGTAGTTGAATTTATCAACAAGTGAAGTGCCACCTGCTTCTTAAACATAGTGTAACCCCTTCAATACGTATAGTTTAACAAGGGGCTAGGCACATCCATTTATTATGGAAGTCCTACGAGGGTCTCTCGTGAAATGTTGGGTTTTAAAGGGATGCCCACACACCTTTATTGAAAGAATGCATCTGAAACAGTTGCATGCATTAATACTAATAATTCTACCTATGACAAAGTGGTGTGAAATACAAAAATCATAGGGCAAATCCATCCATTTATCTCCTTGCATGCTTATAATTTGTACTGCTTTACTTAAACTTTAGCCTTTCCATTGGATTTCCACAATTGTCCTCAGAAGTCAATATATCTAGAAACCTTTTCCTGGCAGAGTACAGGCAAGACACTACCAGGAATAATAACTTGGTGTGGAAGGGACAGAAAGATGTACTCGCATCCTTTGATTATAAGAACTTAATTAAATCTTGACGTAAAAGGAAAAAGAAGACTGTTTTAATGGACCGAGAGAAATGAGAAAGCCAGAACACAACAGGTACACAATATCATAGGGCTAACCAGGTCAAGATTTCTCAAAATCAGTGAAAATTGGAACTGAGTCAATCAGGGTTATTCATTGAAGTTGGGTTGCAGTGAAATCAAATCTCAAAGGCAAAATTGAGCCTATAATAGCTGATCTAGAAAACTTTAGTGTTTAGTGAGTAACTTTGAAGGTCTATACTGCAAGCCAATAAGAATACCCCCAAACATGCTGCTGCGTAATGACAGATCCATCCTTTATTTGCAAAAAAAGAAAAATGAAAAGAAAAGGTGGTTTTCTGGCCATATGTCAAGACCAAAGGCTGCAGGAATAGTTATTGTTAACTAAAAGCATTCAGCGTATGCCATATATATATTTGATTTGGGTATGGTACAAGAGAAGTGAGAGAAGTCAGGGCTTCTGACTCCCAACAGCATCAGTCAGCAACTGGATCCCAGGCAAGCTACCTTTCTGCACCTGAAGGTAGGAATTAGGAGCGTGGCTAAAAAATTTTTTATGTCACTCCAGCCCGGGCATCGCTAAGAGGCGTGCAAGGGACCTGAGCAGGGAGATCAGGGCTCCCTTGCCGCCCACCTCCACCGCTCACCTGTCTGCCGGACCTCCCTCCAGCCTGCCAAGCTGCAGCCAGCCCCACTGGACCTGGAAAAATGCACTCCAGCACTCCCAAAGGTAGAAGGCTGCGTGGATTGAAACTGAATTTTTTTTAATTGTGAGAGTTAGTGTGGGTCTGTTGGTGAGTGTTAGTGTGTGTCTGTTAGTGAGTGTAAGTGTGTCTGTTAGTGAGTGTGTTAGTGTGTGTCTGTTAGTGAGAGTATGTCTGTTAGTGAGAGTGTGTGTGTGTCTGTGAGTTTTAGTGTGTCTGTTGGTGAGTGTTAGTGTGTCTGCTAGTGAGTGTTAGTGTGTGTCTAATAGTGAGTGTTGGTGTGTGTCTGTTAGAGTGTGTATGTGTTAGTGGATGTGTGCCCGTCACTGAGAGTGTATATGTGTTTGTCAGTGAGTGTGGATGTGTGTTTGTCAGTGAGAGTGTATACTTCTGTCTGTCTGTGAAGTTGAGTGTGTGTGTAACTGTGAGTGTAACTGTAAATGAGTGAGTGTGTATGTCTGTGAATGTGTATGTTTCAGTGAAAGTGTGTGTTGGTTAAACAATGTGTGTGACAATGACTGTGTATCTGTGAGTTTATGTCAGTGCATGCATCAGTGAGGGCGTGTGTCTGTCAGGAAGATAAATTTGAAAGGGGGCTGGGGGGAGGGGAGGTGCCTGAGTTTTGTCAAATTACCACAGCAGATTAATTGTATTCAAATACAAAAAAAACAAGTCCTGCGCTCAAACTCCCACTACTCTTGGGCAGCACAAAACCAGAATACACCACTGTATGTGTGTATGTGAATGTGTGTATCTGTATGTGAATCTGTGTGCCTGTATGCATATATGTGTGTCTGCATGTGTTTGTATGTCTGCATGTGTAACTGTGTCTGTATGTGAATATGTGTGCCTGTATGTGTATCTGTGTGCATGTATGTGTGTGTATGTCTGCATGTGTATCTGTGTGTCTGAATGTGAATATGTGTATATGTATGGGAATCTGTGGGCCTGTATGTGTATCTGTGTGCCTGTATGGGAAAATGTGTGTATGTATGTATGTCTGTATTTGTATCTGTATCTGTGTGTCTGTATGTGAATATGTGTGTCTGCATGTGTTTGTACGTTTGCATGTGTTTGTATGTGTGTATCTGCATGTGTCTGTATGTGTGTTTGTGTGTCTGTATGTGTATGTGTGTCTGTATGTCTGCATGTGTATCTATATGTGAATATATGTGTCTTTATGTGTATCTGTGTGCCTGTATGTGTATTTGATTATATGTATGCCTGTATATCTGTGTGACTCTATGTGTATCTGTGTGTATGTATGTGAATATGTGTGCCTGTATGTGTCTGTATGTGTGTCTGTGTATGTGTCTGGGTGTGTATTTGTTTGTTTGTCTGTATGTATATATGTGTGCCCGTTTATCTGTTTGCATATATGTGTACATCTGTGTATCTGTTTGTGTAACTATGTGTGTATCTATGTGTCTGCATGTGTGTCTGTATGTTTATCTGTGTTTCTGTATTTGAATCTGTTAGTCTGTATGTGTATATGTGTGTCTATATGTGCATCTGTGTGTCTGTATGTGTTTGTGTGTCTGTATATGTATCTGTGTGCCTGTTTGTGTGTTTGTGTGTCTGTATGTAAATATGTGTATCTGTATGTGTATCTGTGTGTCTGCATGAGTTTGTATGTCTCTATGAGTTTGTATGCCAGTCCGGCCCTGAACATCAGTATCTGCTGCATTAGCTTAATGTAAATCTTCTCAATGTTGGAATCTGAAATGCTAGCAATGGCTTAATGAACATGGTTAGCTCATTAAAATAAACAGTTGGCTTGCTTATCGTACAGGTTTGGAGAATTAAAATATATCTGCACAAAACAAGAACTAATGGTATTAATATGTAAATATTGGCAAGCTCTGTCTGTGCTTAAAGCAAATTGTAGCATTGCTTCTATATATTATATATAATATACATGTACACATATATACAGTACCTACCTCCCAAGTGTTCCTATTTAGGATGGACAGTGCCAATTTTAGATCCAAATCTCTCTATCCCTCTTTTCTATCCTAATGTCCTTCTTTTCTACAAGCTCCATATTGTTAATGTGTCTGAGTGTATAACAGAGCTCCACAGCAATAATACTCCCAGTAATGTGTCTGAGTGCATAACAGAGCTCCACAGCAATAATACCCCCAGTAATGTGCCTGAGTGTATAACAGAGCTCCACATCAAGAATACTCCCAGTAATGTGTCTGAGTGTATAACAGAGCTCCACAGCAATAATACTCCCAGTAATGTGTCTGAGTGTATAACAGAGCTCCACAGCAATAATACTCCCAGTAATGTGTCTGAGTGTTAACAGAGCTCCACAGCAATAATACTCCCAGTAATGTGTCTGAGTGTATAACAGAGCCCCACAGCAATAATACTCCCAGTAATGTGTCTGAGTGTATAACAGAGCTCCACAGCAATAATACTCCCAGTAATGTGTCTGAGTGTATAACAGAGCTCCACAGCAATAATACTCCCAGTAATGTGTCTGAGTGTATAACAGAGCTCCACAGTAATAATACTCCCAGTAATGTGTCTGAGTGTATAACAGAGCTCCACAGCAATAATACTCCCAGTAATGTGTCTGAGTGTATAACAGAGCTCCACAGCAATAATACTCCCAGTAATGTGTCTGAGTGTATAACAGAGCTCCTCAGCAATAATACTCCCAGTAATGTGTCTGAGTGTATAACAGAGCTACACTGCAATAAATCTCCCAGTAATGTGTCTGAGTGTATAACAGAGCTCCACAGCAATAATACTCCCAGTAATGTGTCTGAGTGTATAACAGAGCTCCACAGCAATAATACTCCCAGTAATGTGTCTTAGTGTATAACAGAGCTCCACAGCAATAATACTCCCAGTAATGTGTCTGAGTGTATAACAGAGCTCCACAGCAATAATACTCCCAGTAATGTGTCTGAGTGTATAACAGAGCTCCGCAGCAATAATACTCCCAGTAATGTGTCTGAGATTATAACAGAGCTCCACAGCAATAAGACTCCCAGTAATGTGTCTGAGTGTATAACAGAGCTCCACAGTAATAATACTCCCAGTAATGTGTCTGAGTGTATAACAGAGCTCCACAGTAATAATACTCCCAGTAATGTGTCTGCATCTGTAACAGAGCTCCACAGCAATAATACTCCCAGTAATGTGTCTGCATCTGTAACAGAGCTCCACAGCAATAATACTCCCAGTAATGTGTCTGAGTGTATAACAGAGCTCCACAGCAATAATACTCCCAGTAATGTGTCTGAGTGTGTAACAGAGCTCCACTGCAATAATACGCCCAGTAATGTGTCTGAGTGTATAACAGAGCAATAGTCCCAGTAATGTGTCTGAGTGTATAACAGAGCTACACTGCAATAAATCTCCCAATAATGTGTCTGAGTGTATAACAGAGCTCCACAGCAATAATACCCCCAGTAATGTGTCTGAGTGTGTAACAGAGCCCCACAGCAATAATACTCCCAGTAATGTGTCTGAGTGTATAACAGAGCTCCACAGCAACAATACTCCCATTAATGTGTCTGAGTGTATAACAGAGCTCCACAGCAATAATACTCCCAGTAATGTGTCTGAGTGTATAACAGAGCTCCACAGCAATAATACTCCCAGTAATGTGTCTGAGTGTATAACAGAGCTCCACAGCAATAATACTCCCAGTAATGTGTCTGAGTGTATAACAGAGCTCCACAGCAATAATACTCCCAGTAATGTGTCTGAGTGTATAACAGAGCTCCACAGCAATAATACTCCCAGTAATGTGTCTGAGTGTATAACAGAGCTCCACTGCAATAATACTCCGAGTAATGTGTCTGCATCTGTAACAGAGCTCCACAGCAATAATACTCCCAGTAATGTGTCTGAGTGTATAACAGAGCTCCACAGCAATAATACCCCCAGTAATGTGTCTGAGTGTGTAACAGAGCTCCACTGCAATAATACGCCCAGTAATGTGTCTGAGTGTATAACAGAGCAATACTCCCAGTAATGTATCTGAGTTTATAACAGAGCTCCAAAGCAATAATACTCCCAGTAATGTGTCTGAGTGTATAACAGAGCTCCACAGCAATAATACTCCCAGTAACGTGTCTGAGTGTATAACAGAGCTACACTGCAATAAATCTCCCAGTAATGTGTCTGAGTGTATAACAGAGCTCCACAGCAATAATACTCCCAGTAATGTGTCTGAGTGTATAACAGAGCTCCACAGCAATAATACTCCCAGTAATGTGTCTGAGTGTATAACAGAGCTCCACAGCAATAATACTCCCAGTAATGTGTCTGAGTGTATAACAGCGCTCCACAGAAATGATCCTCCCAGTAATATGTCTAAAAAAGTACAATAAATGTGTTTAGAAATCAGCCTGTGTAAATACGATACATTGTAGTTGTTCTAAATTACGTTTTAGTTCCATAAATTGTTATTAACAAGACATCTGAAATTTCTCAGGACATCCCTGCCCCTGGCCACAGCCACAGCCCTAAAATTAAAGTGTCCCTCTTTGTCCATTTGAAATGTTGGGAGGTAGGTACACATGATATGTAACGGTGAACCAGGAATTAAGGGAATAGAAAGTTCTTGAAACACCATAACCCATTAGACAGTAGATCGGGCAGATTATAAATGCTTAAAGAACCCTAGTTTGACTTTAGTTAAAGTAAAGTAGTTTGACTCCCACTTATCCCAGACAGAGCTCAACATGTATTGTCCTAAGATCATGGACCCCTGTACTGTTTCCCTTTTGCTAGATTAATTCAGAAACAATTTGTTCACAGCAGGCAGACAGCTACTGATGTCTAGGGCGGCTCCTACACTGTTAATAGAGAGGTTTTATAGCCATTGGCTTAGAGAGTGTTACTGTGATAAAGCCATAAATCATCACGTCGGAGGCACGTCTCCAGCTCAGAATGACAACGTAATTTTGGCACCGAGAAGTGAACACATTATTGGTCTTTTCTGCAAAGTTCTTCAGTTGTTTACATACATTTTTTTCCGCTGTATATAGCATCTCTTTTTGTGGCCAAAAATTTCTAGTAATGAGAAACAAACAATATTTGTCATCCCTAGTACTTCAATGTACGAACATTTGCATCCACCACAATTCTTTGATTATGATCATATTGGGCTCATCAACTGTACTGGGGGAATGCATTAACCAAAGTCATATGTGGTCTCCAACTTATTATGGGGAAGGAAAATGTCTTGTTTCTATGTTCTAATCTGGAAAGCATGTAGATTCGGTGCCAAAAGCGTTTCCCCCCTCCTTCTTTCTTTCTCTATGAATTCATTTTAAACTTTAGCAGACAAAAGGGAGACCTCGTCCATTGAATACATTGTTAACCTTTCAATTGAGGAGGTAGGGATATGTTTGAATGCAAGCTGAAGCATTTTACTCTCTGAAATCTGAAAAAGAAGGTTTGGCTGGGATTCCTTGGCTGTTCTGGTTACAGTGGTGAAAGGGACTTAATGTTACAAAGAAGACTTGGCGGGAGAGTTTATGATTAATTTACAAATGGTAATGGTACAAGCGATTTTATGTGCTTTTAAACAAAAAAAAATTATTAATGAGTATTATATAACTTGTTTTGCTGTGTTAACCTATAAATAGTGCCTGATGAAATCAAGTATTTTGCTATAGACTTTAAAAGTACACTTTCCGATTTAATGGAAATTAAAGATGATTATGAAACAAACCCCCTAAAATCTGCCTATGATTAAAAAATGCAAAATGCAAAAAACATAAACCAAATCCTTCTGTTTAACTCCTTATATGCTTACCCTTTTTTACTTTAACATAAACACAATTTCTTTGGATTTCTATAACTGTTCTCAAACGTCAGTGTATCTAGTGACCTTTTCTTGCAGAGTGTAGGCAACTAGCTACTGCTAGAAGTAGGCTCATATGAAAAGAACAAAAAGATGTCTAAACCTCCTTTGCGTGTATTAAATTATACTTATGTAGAGGCAAAAGAAGACTGCTTTAACAGACTACCACAGTCATTTCCTAAAGCAAAAATTCAAAGTGAATTCAAAGTGGATTTCAAATTCACTGAAAACGTAGCTGACTTTTCCAGTGTGTCTATTTTGACATGAAATTTGAAACTCACTTTTAACTCTCACTTTAGTAAATAACTCTGTGAGAGACAGTAAGAGGCCAGAACACAACAGGTACACAATATCGTAGAACTTGCCAGGTCGATATTTCTGGAAATCATTGAAAAGAAAAACAAAGTCAACCAGGATTACTTGGTGGAGTCTGAGGAGCAACAAATTAAATTATTAATCTGAAAATTGAGCCACCAATATCCAATCTAGAACTATTATCCAACCTAGTTATGGTTACAGCTTGGTAGTTTCCACTTTCATTTTGCAATCCAGATTCCAATTCGATACACTTTGGAATTTAGCAAGTAACCCTGAAGGTCCATACTGCAAGGCAACAAGAATATACAGAAACGTACTATTGAGGCTACTGGAAAACCCAAATAAAGAGCCTGACAGTGGAGATAATGTTTTTTTAGAGTACAGCACCCAGCTTACGTTCTGACGGCTGTGAGTCCAGAGTCTAAAAAAGTTGGAATACTCCTCTATAATTCTCTAACATGCAAAGACCTAAAAGACAGGCCCTGGAGATCCATTTTGTCATACAAAAATGTCTCCAACCCATTAATCATAAACCATGCTCTTTAGTTTTCTTTTTGCTAAGTACAAGCAATCACACAGTTCTCACATATTTGAAACACTCACAGCTATTTGTAATTGTGAAACGTAAATCAATGTTTCGTCTATGTAAGGTAGCTGGTTTTACTTCATCCAGATGGATTCTGTCTCTATGACTGGTTTCCATCTATTGAGTCTTGCTACCACTAATTTCAAGGCTAAGCATGCTACAGTACACTGAAATCCTTAATGTACCTTGTAATAAGGAGCTTCCTGTCTGATCTACAAGCATGCCCTGGACATGTGCACATTTTATACTAAACCTCACATGTGTTTCTTGTCTTTCGTAGTATGACTGGTAGCAAGGTCCATATGAGCTTTCTCAACATCCTGGAGTTAGATGTTAGTATGGACAGATTTAAGAATCCCTTACGTGGTTTGAGAGTTATTTTATTTATTCTTAAAGCAAATAAAGCAGTTGGCAAGTAAGCAAGCAAGGAAGGAAAAACTTCACAGAAGCCAGCAATTAATTGTTTTGAAGTCAGAGACAACTATGTATCTTTCCATTCGGCTCTGGTTTGTGCTGTTTAAATGTGCCAATACGCTAAACAATGCACTGATCATTTTGGAATATGTTGAGACCATATGATAAATGTTGACGATGATATTAACATTCTTTATAGACATTAGAAAGAAGCCACAAGGATTCCATAAGAAGATGATGATGGAACAACATCTGTCCCATGATTATCAGCTTGAAGTTGTACATGAGATTTCCTTGGGCTTGCTAAATGTTAAACAACAACTCGTAATACTTGTGAGAAGAACTTATCAACATGGTTCTAATTTTGTCCTCAAAGGATGTCAATTGCACACATTTAGGGAATACAGAATTGTAGCAATGGGTTTTAATTTTGGAGGATCTAATTAGTTCACACAACTAATAATAAGTAGCCATGCCAATATACAGAATGATTCTTCTGTATATATTTGTATATATTTGACATTTGAATTGGATGATGTATATGAGTCCAGAAGCAGTCCTCACAAACCTTATTTAGAATTTAGTTACTGATGTAGGCTATTTCCATTGCTGGTCCTGAGAGGATATCATAAATGTGAGATTAGTGGTTAATTGCTTTCATCCTGATGGATTCCTATTCGTTTATACACCATCACTACATGCTGAAACCTAACTACTCAGGATTCAGATCCTAAATAAACAAGTGAGGGAACTCTTCAGGTTCAAATTCCCATCCCCTAAGTAACTCCTATTATACCACTCTTAACCAATCACTATTAGATACAAATTGTGCTGCCCCTTGTGTGCACATATGGTGTGTATGAAGGACAATATTAAAGTAATATGCAGTTTTTATATTTTATATGGTTTATATAATTACTAGCAAAAGTTTCATCTCATCTATTCAAATCCATGAATACAGCATTACACATATTCACAATAAATCACTCAAAGCTTATTGGAAGATGTAACTGTCTGTAAATGTGTCAGCCAACTCTAGCAGTATATCAATATAAATGTCAAAATTATGTCAATCCAGTATAAAGGAAGAAAACACATAATTATAAACAAATCATTTCAGATTGAAAAATGTGCAAAAAATGATGTAGAACATTTCTTCAATTCCTTCTTTTCAAATTGTAAATGCCCAGTGACCTATATAAATGATCATGTACTGCAAAGAGTACCCCACCTTAATGCAAGAAATGTGGAAACTGTTCCCTCTGTAAATTCTGTAAGGGAACAGGGTCCACATGAGTTCCCACTGGACTCAAGCCCTACCACTACTATTCCTCTGGCTTATGTTCTAACATGAGCACTGATATGCTCGTTGTTAAGTAAAGGTAACCATTAAACATTTAGCAATGAAAATATTTTACTTTTTAAGAGATTAAAAATTAGGAGATTATATGACCAAGAGATGGGTTCTCTATAAAATGTGAGAGATTCTTAAAGGAACGCTACAGTGTATTTTACGATATCGTACTCCGCCTGTATTCTTAACACTATAGTGTCCTAGATGCAGATTCCTTTTTACAGAAAAGGTTTTTACTTACATTTTCACCAGTGCCGAGACTCCCTTGGCATCCATCTCTTTCCCTCTCATAGAAGAGCATTATGGACTGACACACAAAATCAGCTGAAACCTCAAGTGACCAAGTTTTATCGTTTTATTCGATCACTGTAGAGGAAGCACCACTAAAGGTATGTTTAACCCTGAAATTAGTTTTTACAAATTTTTTACATTGCAGGGTTAAAATTACAGAGCCATTGCACTCAGACCAAATCATTGAGACAAAGTGGTCTGGGTGACTTTAGTGGTCCTTTAAAGGTTCACCATAAGCACCATAACTGCGTTATGTACAGAGAGTACTCTGCGCCATCTCTCCCTGCCCAGCGTGACATGACTGCAGTGAATTGCTAATGTTACTGCAGTTATTAGCGTGCCCCATGGCTCTCTGATGTCAAGGATTGCCATTTGTCATTCATCCAACTTAAACATGACTGCATTCTCTGCGGAACACGGAAGCTTTTACATCAATTGATAACATTTTAGTGAATAACTCTGTTCATTATCTTTTTTTTTCATTCATGTCACCAGGCCAGATACCAATAGAACAGTAACGTGTATTAACCAGCAGACAGTACTTCTGCCACAGAAACTAAAAAAACAACTTGTCATCCATTTTTTTTGTAAACATGGCACTATCCAAGTATTGGTGAAAATTGGTGAAGGACTCGTTATTTAAGTATGTGACAGTTACCTTTGGCACTCTAGTTACACTTCCTGTGGCATAGAGCGTCATGGGAATGTGGCTCACAAACATCTGAGGATCTAGGTTAGCTATCTCTGAGCTACGCCAATGTAAAGGTCTGATTGTATTCAGAAATAAAACGTTCATTTCGCCCATGAAGCGTGGCCTATAGTAGATATTTCTGCCATGTCTGGTAAAAGGAGTCACGCTATGCTACAGACATCTGGAATTTGTCAGATAGTGTTTTCATTGCTCGAATTCCTTAAGGAAATGAGAATATAGGATGACCCGATTGCCTTGTGTTTTCATTGGCAAAGTAAATGGAACTCTTTCACTTAACAGAACAACAGTAGCAACTATCAAATGCAGTTTATTCAAGGAAACAAATCTATAGCTAACCCGTCTGTCACATTCCTTCTTCATTGGGAAAAGTCACGTATGAGTGTAAGAGAAGAAAAAGAAGTAAAAAAAAAAAAAATCAGGTTGTTTTTGATATTGAAAAGTATTATATAATGATATTATGGGCCTCAAAAAACCTAAACGGTATATTTTTACTTTCTGTGAAATACTACTTATTCTTTGCACATTTGTAATTTGATTAAACTAATCCACAGAGGAAAAAGCTTAGTGTGAGATGGCGGGCAACTGAAAAATGATCCCGTAGAGTTGTGTTGTTTTACTGTACCTTGCATTCCGTACAGAATCTCCGGGGGAACAAATCATACCAGACGTGAGAATTCAAAGTGAATTTTAAATTCAAGGTAAAAATAGCCAAAATGGGAAAATTCTCTAAGGCAGCTCTGCTTCCAAACTGGCTACTTAGACCTTAAATTAGACATGAACTTTAAATTCACTTTGAATTCTCACTCTAGTGAATAACCCTGACCATCTCTAAACTGTGGTGTCTAATTTAATTTTAATTACCTATCCCGACTGAGATTAGTTACACTTCCAGGCAGTAGCTGATATTTTTAGTTTAAATAATTAAGGGACCTCTACACATCCATAAAGCATTTCAGCTTATCCTATACTGTTTTGTTTTTCTATGAGAAATCTGCACTTCTATTATTAAATCATGGCATACACCCTTGGGTGTTTGATTGACAGCCATGGGGTGTTCCATTATTTAATAATAAAATCAAACAGCTAAGGAAGATTCCTTCCTACTTCTGTAAACTCCCCTGAGCTACTTGAGCCGGTGCGCGCATGCACGTGAAGATGGCTTATTTCCCTGTGAAGAGACTGAAAGTCTCTTCCAGGTAAAAAGGAGACAGCTTGCAAAGGCTGAATTTTCTTTTTCTATAAATACATGCTTCACTGATATGGGTCAAGTTGTTACAATGGGCAGATCATCTTTTACATTTTTATTTTAACCACAAAATGCATTTTGTTTTTGTTTCCTAATATGTTTTTTTTTTTTAAAGTAATGTATACTGAACACACTTAGGCACCCACACATATATGTAAAATACCAATTACTTTTTTTTCTGCCATATAAAATTTTCTTTTATCTCTGACTCTCCTTTTCATTATTAAATACTGATCAATTTTTTTTTATATATACGGAAATATTAATATTTGTAAAATAAATAAAAAATAACGTACATATCTCAAGTTGGACTTTGAGGGGTCGTGCTTGGGCACTTGCGAATATTTAATAGAGTGTGAAGTTTGAAACACAATGTCTCAATGTCTGTCTGAATTCATTTACGTGTTTAGCTGGAAACTCTGGGATAGTTGTGGAATCATCATATCTCTAGTTTCTATGACCAGGAGGGACTCCTCAATATATGCATGTGATGTATATTGGCACCCCATACTTGGAATGTAAATGTTTTTGTGTGTGTGTCACTCTGCACTGTCCTTAAAACCCTGTTTGTTAGGGAAATTACAAACACCCATATTTATATTCGCACACATACTCACACGCACATACAAATACACTCACACATTTATACAGACACATGCTCACATTCATACACACACATAGAAACATTCATACAAACAGACATACGCACACATTCATACACACAGACGCACACACACACACGCACACATATTCATTGTTTTTTCTATTTAGACTTGTATCCTTCTTGGCTGGTGGTTTGTGCTGAGATCATTCTGTGCACTGAATGCACAACTCCCTGCAGCTCTGCACTGATGCCACAGTTAAGGTGATGTTACATCCTGGCGCCTAACATTAGTACATAGTGACATGAAGCAGTGCAGCCAAGCACAGAGTGGTCCCAGCAGCCTCTGCCTCCAGCAGGGTCTGCTAATGGAATCTGCAGAGTACTCACTTGCTGCATGGCTCTGCCGTCAATAGACAGTTCTGTGCACCCTTGCGGATTGTCACGTAGGGCGGACTTCTCCCCTACTTGTCTCTGTTACTATCCTCCACTGTAAAATATTTACATAATAGTACAAAGATATTTCATTCAATTATGGTTTATTTAAGTCTTTGAATTAGTTATTTTCTACACTGCATGTTGTTGACATAGCAACTGACTTTAAACGTATATTGTAGATATATATCAAGGGGTTATCACAGCAGCCAAGCATTATGGGAAATATGTCAAAAACAGCTGTAATTTGCCTAATAATATAATAAAAAGCACTAACATTTCTAGACACAGACTAGCAGACTACTCGGAATCTCAGAATATTGGTCTCACAAGGTTTAAGTTGCCATTCGTGGGTTTACAGATTAGTGTTTATTTAAAAGTTGCATTTAGAACTCTTCATGGGTTCTGCCATTTCACAACTTCGAGTATTTACAAAACACGTGCCAACTGTGACCCATGTGTTAAAAGCTTAATACACGTAAAAGCCCGTTGTCTCCAAGATGGCTTTAATAAAAAGCACAGTCAGGATAAGATATTTCTATATTTCTTCTCAGGCTCCTGAGCAGTTATTAGAACTAAGTGATGGTCTTCGGCTTTGATGGTCTTTCCCTAGCTCTGCCCCATTAGCCATACCGACCCAGCTCAGTTAATGCTTTCAATGCATCACTACTGTCTTATTGCTGCTTGGGCTATTTCTGCAGCAGAGAGGGGCCAGACCGAGAATGCATGGATAACCACATTCAGTGTCAACCATTTGGAAATTAACAGTGGGGCAGCACTACAATTACATTATTGAGATGAAGTGGTGATGGTGACCATTATGTCCCTTTACTACCAAAAATTACCGTAGCATGGACTCAGGGGTACATTGCAAACCAGCAAACCACAATCCAAAATTCACGGATCATTTTACAGTTGATAATATCATTGAAGTGTCACAGACTCTGTGCCATCTGGTCAGCGATACTTGACATCATAATTTACACAAGTTAATGAAACCGATTCTAGAGATATTTCAGGCCACACCACTCCTCTTTATTCCGTTGCAGTCTCTGTTAGCCAAGAGTAAGATTTCCATTGTGGTGCATTTTCAGGTTTTGACTCAGCTCTGTTATTGACCTACTAGGATCTCTGGAATCCTAAAGCCTGGCTGTGTTTATTCTTTGCCACAGTTTTGTATCCCTTGAGTTTGATATGTTGTAACCACAAGGATAACACCAAAACAAGGGGCCCGACACAGCTCAGGGGCTCACAAGGGTCCATGTGGCACGTAATAGTCCAGGTTGCAGAGATAGATATATCTTAACGAACACCGCTTCCTCACATTCAGCAATGCTGGAGGATGTGATATCTAAGACATTCTAAGGGCTCTGATGTTGAGCTGTGTGGGGTAGGGAGATGGATATAGCACTTTGTCATATTGCTCCCTTCTGACCCCCACACTGCACTTCCATGCACTGGTTTGAAATTTATGGCATGGTACAGAGTTAGGACTGCCTTAGGAGCGCCAAAGGGTAGAGGCAGAGGTTATATTTCTGGAGGGAAGTGGTTGCGGATGGGTGCAGATGTGTGTCGGATTGTATGACTGTTTGACAGTGTGAATGTGTATCTAACTATGTCTCTGTGTGTGTGTGTCTAACAGGGTGTGTCTGACAGTGTGTGTGTCTGACAGTGCGCATTTGTGTATGTGTGTTTAATAACAGGAATCTGTGTATGTGTGCCTAAAATGATGTATGTGTGAGTGTGTGGCATTGTACATCTGAGTTTGTATATGTGCCTGACATTGTGTAACTGTGTGTGTGTGACAGTGTGTATGTGTGTCCAGCAGTGTGTATCTGTGTGTATTCTGGAAGAGTATATGGGTATAACAGTTTACCATCCCTTTTTGAAACTCAAATTGACAACAGACTGATCGATACTGTTTACTAACTTTCCTGTTGTTGAAAGGATCCCAAAACACGATGACAGAATTCTACTAACATGTATTTATTGTTTATTTACATTGTATTAGTTAAAATGCTAACAGCTATATAAAGCCAGAGCTTAACTCAAATGAAAAATAAACTAAAAATGGACTTTCAACAAATATTAAGTAAATGATTCCCCAATGCAGGTAAAGTGTCTCACGCACATCCAATAGTATCCATTGTGAAGACCATCTGGGATGATTCAGATGTGATTGTCAGGCACGTACATATTTATAGAAAAATTAAATATATATGTTGGGCCAATGTGCCATCCACGTGTTACGAGTTCTTTCTTTTTTCACATAAATTGTTGAATTATTTTTTTCTAGCGTAGTTGCGGAATGTTATGCAATCGTCATTTAATAAAAATGATTCACCAAATACATTTTAAAAAAACAACTATCATGGAAACAAAATGGACCAGCAGTCAAAAAAACAGGCATATATTAACAACATTTAGAAACCGTGGACCCACATGGCTTCAGTTAGGTGCTGCAGCTCTTCGAATTCACTTACAGTGACCCAAAGCTAGATTAACTGAATAAAATCTGCAGGTTAGTAGTAACCAACCTTTCTCTCTGGTCATTGAGGAACTACTACTCATATGATCCTCAGCCAGTCAGATGTTTTTTTTTATTTTTTAAAGGCAGGTCTACTACTTTCTAAAGTAACAGATCTGGTGTGTGTCTGGTTGCCCAGGGTGCAGAGGAAGGGAAGTTTTACTTACCTCAAGCTGTCCCTTGAAGCTGCCAGAGTTAATTTTGCCAGAAAATTTCAATTTAGGTTTTGTCATAGTCTTTTGATTAAAAAGCCATTTTAGTTTTAGTCGTATTTTAGTCATCAGAATAGTTTTAATTTTAGTCTACTTTTAGTCGACTAAATCTCCAGAACATTTTAGTCGACTAAATCTACAGTAGACTTTAATCGACAAGACTAAAACCTATTGTTTTTTTTTATATTTAATTATTTTTATTGGTTTTATAATAGTGTTTAACAATGGCATAGATCGTGTAGAACAATGGCATAGAAAAACATAGTTTCATATGTTACATTTGTAGGTATCTTAATTTTGCCTTATTGCTTCAGACACATGCATACATTTCCAGTTGCGTTACAAGGTTAAAAGCATACAATTAGTGGTGGCATGTAACTTTTGCTGGCTTATACATTTTGATAGCATATGCATATTTGACATAATTTCTTCCTTTGCATTCAGAAATAAAACAGTCAACTACCTTGATCGTATTGGTGTATTGTCTACTATCTATCAGGCGCTTTGATTATGGGTTTACAAAACGACATCTAGATGATTTGCATTTTACTTCACTCCCATCAGACTACTAGCCACATCTATCTGTAATGCATTCGGTTGAGAGGATATTATCAGCATCCCGTATAAAGGATTTCCAGGGTTCCCAATTAAGAGTTAATTTTTCATAGTTTTTGGATATAGAATACGTGATTTCCTCCATTTGTTTTATCCCTTCCACTCTTTGGATCCATTCTCTGATGGATGGAGGGGTCACTTGTTTCTATTTGACTGGGACTAGCTGGTTTGCTGCCATGAGTAGGTGAGAGGTCAAAGATGTTCCTTGTCTCTCTTATAGGGGTGGGGATAAGAGAAACAGCATGTACTCTGGTGAGAAGGGTATCTGTGTTTTCGAGACTAACTGTATAACTGTTTGTATGCGTTTCCAGAATGTATGTATCGACGGACATCGCCACCAAATGTGTGTAGGGTGTGTATCTGGTTGTTGACATCTCTAACCTGTATCCTGGTCACTGTTATGTAGTTTATGGATTTTAGCTGGAGTGTAATGTCAGTGCGTAAGCCGCTTGTAATTGCTTTCTTGTGTGGCGATACTCGTGGATGCCTTGTGTGCCCTAAGAGATATTTTTTTCCACTGGACTGATGAGATATTAGCTTGTAATTTATCTGCCCACTTTACAGTGAATCTAGGGAGTTCAGATGAACTTGTCTTTTGTAGTAGCGTATATATAGTGGATAGTAGCTTGTGTTTCAGCGGGTGTAAGATGCACAACTGCTCAAAGTGCGTAAGCTCTCGCTCGCCCGTTGGTAAGAGCTTCACTATTGGGTTTATTTAAAGCCTGTATCTGTCTCTTTTGCCCTTTCCCCTCTGTGTCTCTTTGTGTCCTCCGAGTGTATCTAGGTGTCTCTCTCCTAAGTCCTGGTCTGTCTCTTTTGCCCCTCCCACAGCCCCTCTGTGTAGTGTTAATTTTGGCGGCAAATATCTATTTAGTTTTAGTCATAGTCTTTTGACTGAGGCTGAGAGTGGTCAGTTGACTCTTGACCAATCATGGTTGTCCGTTGCTGGCATTTATTGCAATAGCTAAGGAGGAGTGTAATTTCTGCCCTAGCCATAATTACAGTTTGGACCGAACTGTGGTGGCCAGGTACTCGCATTCACTGATGTTTAATAAATACAGTGTATTCCAATAACTCACCATTGGTAGTATATATACTATTGTTTGTATTTTCGACTCTCCCATTTTCTGTTAATTTATGATGTTCAAGCCTTGAGGTCAAATTCTTTGGCAGAATCGTTAACCTGGCCATTGAACACACTAATTAAAGGACCACTATAGAGCCAGGAAAACTTACTTGTTTTCCTGGCACTATAGTGCCCTGAGGATGCCCCCACCCTCAGGGTCCCCCTCCCGCCCGGCTCTGGAAGGGGGAAAGGGGTTAAAACTTACCTTTTTCCAGCGCTGGGCGGGGAGCTCTCCTCCTCCGATCCTCCTCCTCTCCTCCCCGTCGGCTGAATGCGCACCCGCGGCAAGAGCTGCGCGCGCATTCAGCCGGTCGCATAGGAAAGCATTTACAATGCTTTCCTATGGACGCTGGCGTGCTCTCACTGTGAAAATCACAGTGAGAAGCACGCAAGCGCCTCTAGCGACTGTCAGTGAGACAGCCGCTAGAGGTTTTGGGGGAAGGCTTAACCCATTCATAAACATAGCAGTTCCTTTAAAGAATCCAAACTCTAAATTGTATCGATATGGCTGTTCTATGAGGTCTGTTTTTTGTTTTTTTTAGATTCAATGAGCATATGGTGCTTGTATATTTTAGCAACAGACAGGTCAAACAAATAATTTGTTAGTTTTAGTATTGAATCTTAAAAAAGTAAATTAAAACCATTACATTTAGAAAATGTAATTATTAAAGATTGCATGTACTTACCCATAAAATGTATGCCTCATATAACCAATCCTCTTCCCGAGTGTGACCAGTTCTCCTTGTTTGACTGGGGCACCTTCCAGCAGCACAATTCCAACTTTCTTCAGAGCACACAACCAATTATAGGCACTTTGGTCATTGTGGAGGACACTTTCATAATTCAAGGTGGGAATCTGCAGGCCGCAGCCCCAGAGTTGTTTTTCTGGAAAAAAACAATGTACTTGGTTAGATTCAAAATTAAAAAATACATTGATATATTCTTCCCCATCTAATAAAAAGTTTGACTTTTGCAGTTGATTTTTATTTTGCACAAATATACCCCTACTTTGAGCTTACACACACAAAAAAAACATGACCAACAAGCTTGTACTTTTTGTTCCAATAAACCTGACTTCCTGCAGCAATCCTGAGTGTCTGGATCTAATCTATTTTATCAACAAGAAATAATTAGCAAAAATGAAACGTGTGTGCATTTTGAAAAGATGAGGATATGACATACTCCCCAAAATTGAGAGGTATGAGATCAGAAGGGGTTACAAGAGCTAAGGGGCCCAAGATGGGCCTGCCCGGTGAAGTTGCTTGTCTGGTTGGCCTCAAACCTATAGGGTACCAAGGTCCTAGTCCCTGAAGACAGTTCCCTGGTGTCTCTAAATTGCAATTCATGTCACTGCTGACACCCATAATGAGCAGGTTCACCTGGAAATGGGGCATGCCTGCATCCCTTTCCCCCAGTAACTGGGCGAGATACAGCTCTGGGAGTACAACTGAAAACACAAGGTTTTACAGGCATAGACCCCTACATGGGGTCTCCAACACAATACACCAGGGGTTTCAATCCCAAGAATCCGATAAGGGATGGAGGAGGGACAAAGCAGCTAGGATAAACTGGGCTGGTAGTGTCCCTGAGACAATGCTCTGCTTCTGCCCCCACCCCCCTTTGTTGACCCACAGCTGCATATACGGACACACACACTGCTCTATGTAGAAAACAGGCACACAACACAGCGACATCTAGACACATGTAAAACAGTCACAAAAATGCCGCTGCAAGCTTTTGGCCCGCGCCATACAAATCAGACCATCCATCACATATCTCACCCCATTAAAATAGACAGACATGTGGCCGGATCCCCGACGGGCCTGCAACAAGTCCACAGTCCAAGTCCTTGGTGGTCCAATGTGACTGGACAAGTGGGTGGGCACATGTGGGCATGGTACTCCGTGACGGCGTTCCGTCACAAGTACGAATACATTTTACATTATGTAGACTACAGGCACTTGCATAGGGACTTATTTTCTAAATAGTTGAACTATCTACTTTTCACACAAACATGGATAAACTCTGCCAAGATCAGGGGAAACTCCACTCATTTATGGGATAATCTACTTTGGGCACCCAGCATTTAAATACAACAATGCTATACCTTCCAACATCAGCAAGTTCCAGAATTGAGATGCCGGTGGGAAGGGCGTAAAAGGGGCAGGTCAGTGATGTGATCATGTGGAACGCCCATATTACATGCTGGTCTGTGTGTATTCACACCAGGCTACTTACCGATTGTTTTAGCTGGCCCACTGAGGACAGGCAGGGAGCACTATTTCAGTGTTCACTGTTTCCCTCCTTACCACGAAACTAAGGCGGGACAGCGGAAAAGGACCCGAAATCGGTACTGTCCTGCTGAAATCGAGACGGTTGGGAGACATGCACAGCTAATGAGAACTATGTCTTTTGATTCAGACAATTAATCATGAAACTATATTTTAAGACCAGATTTACTATACTGTCTGGTTGTAATCCTACATAACATTAGAGAAAATGTAACGAGGCTATATGCAGAGAAATAAAATAGCAAGGCAACTGGTCTTTGCATGTGATAATACATAAACACAGTAGAAAAATCATATTTGCTTTCTAAGTTTAATAGTATCCAACTGGGGCCGATAACAGGAGCTGCTGATACAGAATAAAGTGAAAAGGATTATAAAAACCGACTGAATTATGAACCGTTAATTGGAGATAGAATTTACCCTCTATAGTCTCCCAGTGACCGCTGTATTCTAATTTAGAACACTGTTGTGCTGCTACAGATGCTTCCAATTAACTATACATACATTCCCATCAAAAAGAGCCTGTCATCAAATGTGTTTTAAGATTATATCAATGTTAAAGATCGGGTAATAATGTTACATCAATTAAAAGGAGAGTGTTGAATACACTGTAGTTCCCAAGTGTTCCTCTTTAGGAGGAACAAATTTACTTTGTTAAAGGAACACTCCAATGGGATTTTATTTTCACAATGTAGTTGATATACCCCTAATGATAACATTACTATATATTTTTCAATGGAGGTATATCTATAAACAGCTTATAGAACCACTGTCTGCAGCCTTTGCAGGCTCTCCCATTTTTCCATCTGTGCTACAGAATACTTCTGAGAAGTATTCTCATTGAGAAGCCTCTGATTTTGAGCCATGGACTGCTGAAAACCAGGGAGTCTACAGACAGGGCTGAAGTGGGCTCTGTGGACATGTGTGAGCGTTTTTTGACAGACACACTTGCACTTGGGGGATAAGTGCTCTAGCACTCAAGCAGGAATTAGTAAGAAAACTTTGCTTAATGTCGGATTATTGGCCAGAGAGGTGTTTCTGAAATTAGTTATAAAAGAGTTGATTTAAAAAAGAAATCACCACTTTTATAAAGTGCAATTAAGATGCAGAGATGCTTCTTTCACATATTATGTTGGAATGCAGGTGTCAGAATGTTTCAGTAAGTGTTTCAATATATTGCTCAGGAACGTCATGAATTTCTCCACAGAGACAAAGTTCCAGATGTGTTGGACTGTCTACTTAGATGCGAGGATGGAACTTGAGAGTTTGTAAAGCATACTTTTGCATCGCTATAGCTCACACAAGTGACAAGTGACGACATGATTAATTCACTACAAAAAAATAAAAAAATAATTTTGTCTTCTCAATGTTCGCAAACCATTGCAAGACCTCAAAATAATATCTACCTGTGGACATCAATAACACCAGATCTGCCAAAACTCTCAGTACGATATTCTGTATCATCAATAAATATAAGAATTTGTAAAAAAAAGAAGATCATTTTTTAGGTTATTTTCATGTAAACATCTTAGGTCTCACTGATGTTTTAGGACATTGATAAATCATACGACAACATCCGTAAATATTTACAGGCATCTGAAAATGATAAAACATCTATCGATGGTTGTATTGCAAAAAGTTCATCATGAAAGAACATTAATTACAAGGAAACATAACTATTCATAGTTCCTTGTAACAATTAGGAGTACTTGCATATAAAAGCATTTTTAATACATTTCCTCAAACAAACATAAATAATGAGCTACAAAGAGAAGCGCAGATTATTAACATTTTCTAAAGGGAATGTAGAAAACTAAAAAGGATGCCATATAATTTTACTGACTTTTAATGTTAGCGTGTTTCCTGTTTTATAGTAATGGTGAAGGTCTGTGTTCCATGTTCCTCATCTTTGTTTTTGGACATCAGTCTTCCATCTGCTAAGGTAAGCTCATCTCCTAAACACTTCACAAGAATTTAATGGTTTCTGACTTTGTGGGTTTTCCACAAACCACCAGGCATGGACAATTCTAGTTAGAAAAAAAAGCAAAAACTGAGGATTCAGTGTGAAGGGAAATTTTATGATCCCTCCTATATATAAACAGTCCTATACCATGCCCTACGTCCAATCCTTAACCCTAATATAGTCCATAAATTACATAATGACACAAAGCCTTTGATTGAATTCAGAGTATCACATCAATATCCCATATTTCTCTGTCAGTATTACAGGGGAGACGGACAATTAAATGGTGGAAAAAATATACCTGGGGGTTTTTTTTGGACACCACTTGTGGCTCCAAGCCATGTCAGCGTCCCCTAGCAAGGCCACTGTCTCCATGTTTTCCCTCTGAATAAGGTATGCTGTGTAAAACTCCAGCTCTGTGAGCTAGTGATCACAGTAATATTCAATATTTGTTGAGCATCTCAAAGCATCACTATGCTGTGTCACGTTGAGATTTCTGCGATTACTTCTAACGAATCATGTACTTAATGCACTAAATATAGAAGGCCACATCCAGGCACATGCCAGGGAGAAATTGTGAAATAACCTTTTATTTTTCTTGTTGTTTTTGCATTCTCAGTGATATTCTACAAACTTCTCCCATAGAATAATGGAAAGTATTTTTATATATGTTATATTTCATGTTTTTGTTGCAAAGTCGCTTTTGTCTTGCTGAAATATGAACTTTCCCCCAAGTTTCACATTTTTAACGGACTGAATAGGTTCTTCTACCTGCATTCTTGCCCTGTGATTTGTTGCTGTTGAGGCATGGGCAGCGTTTAATTTGTGCCACACATGGTGGGTTTTGAATTATAGCTAAAAGAGAACTCTATCTCATCTGTCCACAAAATCTTTTCCGATATTTTAGTCAAATCCATCTCATGCTTTTTAGTAAATCCAAACGTGTTTTCAGGTGCTGGATTTGAGTAATGGTTTTCTTTCTAGGCACCTTCCATGCAGGACAGTTTAATGCAGAGCTCTCGAAAGTATTGACTGGTGCTCATTTACTCCAGTCTCAGCCAATGACCTCCACAGATCATTTAAAATGAATGATGGCATCTTCTTGTTTCTCCCCTTTGCTGGGTTGATGAGTTTTTAAGTACAACCATTTCTAGGCATTGACTGGGTTGTGGGATGTAGCCTGCACTCCAGATAGTTCATCCAACAGTACTAACTGAGATTTCAAACACACTGAAATCATGTTTGAACACTTTTCATAAACAAAGTTGTGAGAGTAATCTATCTCTTACTGCTGTGGAATGTTTTTTTTCTCAATTTTTCTTCATTATCTTCCACTCTGCAGCCTGACCAATGATTCTTATCCAGAGTGGAACATTTATCGAGAAATAAATGCTCCTAGCTTTAATGCCTTCTTTAATGCACTTCTTTCAGCTTTTATTTAATAATTTGTTTTGGAAAATCTTTATTTTAGCCATGCATAGAGATAACAAGAATCTTGCATTGCCACCACAGCAAGTACAAGTGGAGGAAATGATAACATGAAAATATATTGTAAGACATCCATTCTACACATATAGGTCAAGTAATGCAAAGTTGTTTGGCACGACTGTGGTACAGCACAGTTTTGTAATAAAATGGCTGGGCAACACATATGAGAACATGACAATGACGTTGTAATATGAAGTACAAGTGTGACGGCCTGAGTGGGCCTTCTCGTCTCCGGCACCATGTGCCTCCAAGCCTCCTTCTGAAGCCTAATCGTGGCATAATTTTCACGTTCCCACAGCTTCATCTAAAAGTCCTGAAAGCTGTTACGGACCCTCTGGGATGAATACAGGTCTCGCGAGTTGCGTAGAAGGGCATTCGCCATTTTGTGTGGATGGGATGTGACTGGCATGCAACTCGGAAGGAGTGGTAAGTGCATCCTGGAGAGGTCCAGTGAGGATCGGAAATACCTCCGCTGGTCCAGAGGTCAGGTAGTGGTGCTGTATAGTAAACTGCAGAGCGAGGAGATCGGCCACCTCTCCCCATCTCCGCCTCCAGTTGGCCGCAGCAGTGTATCTCAGACTTCCGGTGGGTGAAAATCTTAAGTGAGGTCTCTGCTTGCTCATCCGGGAACCCCTGACTAATGTGATGCACC